TGTGTGTGTTGTGTGTGTGTGTGTTTGTGTGTGTGTGTGTGTGTGTGTGTGTACTCACCTATTTGTGGTTGCAGGGGTCGAGTCCTAGCTCCTGGCCCCGCCTCTTCACCGGTTGCTACTAGGCCCTCTCTCTCCCCGCTCCATGAGCTTTATCAAACCTCGTCTTAAAACTGTGTATGGTTCCTGCCTCCACTACGTCATTTTCTAGGCTATTCCACTGCCTTACAACTCTATGACTGAAGAAATACTTCCTACTATCTCTCTGACTCATTTATGTCTTCAACTTCCAATTGTGGCCTCTTGTTTCTGTGTCCCCTCCCTGGAGCATCCTGTCTTTGTCCACCTTGTCTATTCCACGCAGTATTTTATATGTCGTTATCATGTCTCCCCTGACCCTCCTGTCCTCCAGTGTCGTCAGGCCGATTTCCCTTAATCTTTCTTCATAGGACATTCCCCTTAGCTCTGGAACTAACCTTGTCGCAAACCTTTGTACTTTCTCTAGTTTCTTGACGTGCTTTATCAAGTGCGGGTTCCAAACAGGTGCTGCATACTCCAGTATGGGCCTGACATACACGGTGTACAGTGTGTGTGTACTCACCTATTTGTGGTTGCAGGGGTCGAGTCCTAGCTCCTGGCCCCTGTGTGTGTGTGTGTGTGTGTGTGTGTATGAATTTGTATGTGTGTGTGTGTGTGTGTGTGTCTCAACAATCAATATTTGCACCAATAACTCATTACAGTTGTGACCGGGTGTGGAAGTGTGAATTGCTCATTACTCTATAATTTGTTCATGATTGTAGCCATGTATAAACGTAAGTAACCATTCTTACAGTATTCATTACTTTTGTAACTTGTGAGTTCATTACCTTGTACCTAGTTCAGCCATCACAACTTTGGGGGCCCAGTCCCTGGACCCATTGTGTACCTCTGTAATCTGTAAATACCTTTGTAACTTGTCATGATTGTGACTAGACCTACCTGGAGTTCATTACCTTTGTAAATTGTGAGTTCATTACCTTTGTAAATTGTGAATTCATTACCTCTGTAACTTGTTCAGCTATCAAAACTTTGGAGTCCAGTCCCTGGACCAATTATGTACCTCTGTAATCTTTTGACTACCGCCCACAGGATGGGTATGTGGTGCATAATAAACATATTAAACTAAACTAAACTTCCATACTCCTCCTCCCCAATTTGATATCCAATTTTTTCTTTATCTAAATCATTATATATATATATATATATATATATATTATATATATATATATATATATATATATATATATATATATATTATATATATATATATACATATGTCGTGCCGAATAGGCAGAACTTGCGGTCTTGGCTTAAATAGCAACGCTCATCTTGCCATATAGGACAAGTGAAAATTTGTGTATGTAATAATTTCGCCAAAATCATTCTGAACCTAACGAAAAAAATATATTTCACTGTGTTTGGTTAGTATTTAATTACTGTAAACAAATCTAAAATATATTTAGTTGGGTTAGGCTAAAATAAATTGCGCTTGTTATAATAAGGTTAGGTAAGTTTTCTAAGTTCCTTTTGGTGAAAAATTATAAATTTTTACATCAACATTAATGAAAAAAATATATCTTTAAACGTATAAGAGAAAATTTTTAGAAAGGACTTAATTTTAAATGAGTTCTTGCTAATGGACCAGTTTTACATATTCGGCACGACATATATATATATATATATATATATATATATATATATATATATATATATATATATATATATATATATATATATATATATATATATATATAGTGTGACTTCCGAAGCATTGTTTGGGGACCATGTAATTGACTCATGTGAGGGCCTGCAACAGGGGGTCCCTCTCGCCACCTTTCTATTCTGTTTGGTCATCAAGGAAGTCACGGAGGCACTCTCCAGCGAGCTCAATATCTGGTTCCTGGACGACGGTACCCTAGCTGGCACAACAGAATCTCTCCTGGAGGACATCAGTAAAATTAAAGACATGGGAGAAAGCCTGGGCCTTTCTTTAAACCCCACCAAATGTGAAATAGTTTCTACCAATCAACAGATGATCCAGAATATTAGTGCCGTTTTACCAGGAGCACGAGCCATTGATCCAGCCAATAGCACTCTTCTTGGTGCTCCTCTTGGGTCCAATGCCATCGATCTGATCCTAGAAAAAAAAAAGCCTCAGACCTCCGGACGATGGAAGGCAGGATGAAAGACATTGACACCTACTCACCAGGTGCCTCTCAATCCCAAGACTTACCTACTTTCTGAGATGCTCCCCAGCCTTCAGCAGTCCAAAACTCAAGGAATATGACTCTCTCCTGAAGACCATGCTATAGAGTGTATTGAATCTTTCCCTTGAAGATGGACAGTGGTTGCAAGCCTCACTTCCGGTCAGGCTTGGAGGGCTAGGAGTACGCAGATCCTCCCAGATTGCTCTACCAGCTTTCCTATCCTCTTCCATAGCATCAAACGAGTTGATAAGACAAATTCTTCCTGATACCCTCAGTGACTCAGCAGGAATAGAAGACCCTAGCTATGCCAGTGCCATCACTGAATGGGAGACTCTTGCTGCTCCAGCACCAAACCCTAGTGCAGCACTAGCTCACAAACAGTCAAGCTGGGATGGCCCGACTGCTGAAAAGGTGCTTGCCAACATGCTCAGGGCTGCAACATCAGATAGGGAGATTGCCTGTCTCCAGGCTGTGAGCGCACATCACTCCGAGGACTTCCTCCAAACAGTTCCCATATCGGCGATGGGAATGCGACTCGACCCTAAGACCCTCCGTATTGCAGTGGCTCTGCGCCTTGCTGTCCCAATTCACACAGAATATACGTGTATTTAGGGCGAAGTGCAAGCAGACCAATACGGTCTACATGATCTTAACTGTTCCAAAACCAAGGGCTGGCATGCAAGACACAATGAGGTCAATGACATCATTAAGAGAACCCTTGCTACAGATGGATGCGAAGCCGAGAGGGAGCCCCGATCACTAGCAGCCAACAATACCCACAACCCAGCAAACCGCCCCGACGGGATCACCATCTATCCTTGGAAGAATGACAAGCTCTTAGCATGGGACTATACCTGTGTGTCCACACTGGCTGACACCTATATCCATCACAGTGTCGGGAAACAGGAAGGGGTTGCTGATCACAGGGAGGAGTACAAGATCAGCAAGTACAGGGACATTAGCCAACAGTATCAATTTGTCCCAGTGGGATCAGAGACCTTGGGATCATGGGGAAAAAAATGCCACAGGTTTCCTTAAAGAACTGGGTTCCAGACTCATCGACACCACCAGGGATCCAAGGGCAGCCACTTTCATGTTCCAGTGCCTGAGCGTCGCCATCCAGAGGGGAAATGCTTGCTGCATACTTGGCTCACGTCCAGCCTCGGAGGAGCTGGAGGAAATTCATCATCTTTGATAATATGTGCCATTGTATTCAGTTTATGGTTTATTTCTGTAAATGTATTCTGTTTATTAATAAATGCTCACAACTAGATTAATATAGGGTGGTAGGAGAAGAATATTAAAAAGCTCCGGGAGAGCCTTGAGTTTTCCCTGAGGTTACGTTTATATATTTCTTCTTGAGGATGAGGTCCCCAGTCCAGCATAGATTGGATACTTAATATATATATATATATATATATATATATATATATATATATAATATATATATATATATATATATATATATATATATATATATATACATTTGTCGTGCCGAATAGGTAAAACTGGTCACTTAGCAAGAAATCATTTAAAATTAAGTCCTTTCTAAAAATTTCTCTTATACGTTTAAAGATATATTTTGTTCATTTATGGTAATGTAAAAATTAATAATTTTGTACCAAAAGAGCTTTATAAAACGTATCTGACCTTATTATAACAAGTGCAATTTAATTTACACTATTACAGCTAAATATATTTTAGATAGGTTTACAATAATTTAATAATAAACAAACACAATGAAATATATTTTTTTCAATAGGCTCAATGATTTTTCCGAAATTATTGCATACACAAATTTTCGCATACACAAATTGCATACACAAATTTATTGAGGAAAAGGACACTTGTATACAGCTCAGATAATCAAAGGAAACATTTCGCCCAGAGTGACTTCATCTGTCCTATTGGACTCTAGTAATTTAATTTAATATATATTATGCAGGTCATACCCAGGGTGTGGGTGGTAGTCAGGGAATTACAGGTGTATATAATGTGTCCTGGGACTGGAACCCAAGAGTCTTGGTAGTTGATAATGAAGTTGTGGCGAAACATTTCCTAAAGTATAGTGTCGGTATCACCTTAACATTTACAGGATTGTAGATGAATGGTTCAGACAACCGACACGTTGTTAAATTAGACACAAGTGCAATGTTAATAAATTAGACTTGTGTCTAATTTATTAACATTTACAACTGATTTTACTTCAACCCCTAATTTAGAGATTAACATATTCTTGAATTGTTGTGGTTTTCCACTAACTAGCGGAGATAAATAACTAGTGTTCAAAGCTCAAGTCAATAGAAGAGTTAGTTAAATATATTTTATCTCTTATTGTAATCTGATCCTCTATTTAATGTTAATGTAACTCAGTTTACTTTATTACTGTTATATCTCCTTTTATTGTAACTAATTTTAACACAGCTGAATTACTTACCTGTTTTAATTTTTAATGTTTAAATAAGATATTACAAGGACCCTAATAAAATAAATCACTTTGACCTTCTGGGTTATCCTAGATAATTTATAATATATATGATACTTTTTATTTCTGTGTACCTGTGCCTCAATAAACTTAATCTCAGCGTATTGCGTATATAATTTTTACAGGATCTCAAGGATACATGGCACAGTACACAAGTCATACCAACTAATGCTCTGAACACAGGATAATCCGATAGTCAGTGTGTTTTATTCCCGCTAGAACTGTAACAAGTGAAGCTAATGGCCACTGTGCGAAAGAAATATCCAACATACCAAAGGAAGAATGAGATTAGCAGAGAGGATAAGAGGAAGCTCACTACACACGCTCTTCTTGCTTGAATTCCTGACTGGCACTGGCACTGGCACTGAGAATGGAGTTGTATACTACTAGGTGCCTGACTGTCTCACCCGGGTGATGCCATCCCCTCACACACACAATTGCTCGCTCTTTTAAAGCAATATTAACAAGTCAGCCTGTTCTTGCACCAGGAGATATACACATTTGGAATTCAATATTCACTAGTCTTTTTTTGTTTATCTGACACCATGTTGTCTGACATACCAGGAGCCAATTATTTGCGACTAACACAAATAATTGGAAATAGTAAAGGCTTTGTTGACAACTAATTACAGAGAGAATGGGACAAGCGGGTCCTAGAACACACAGGCCGGGTTCTAGGACTCGCCATGAGTTCGATTTCCACCCGTTCCCTGATCAGTTTTTTTTTTTGTGATTTTCGCCCTTTAAGGGAGGTTTCTTGAGGCTGGTGAGGGGCTCTTGATCTAGGGAACTGGATCTGTGCTTCAGTTCCCTGACTTGAGCCTAAATACCTTCCCGCCCCCTTCCACAGGCGCTCTGTAATACCCACGGGTTTAACGCTCCCATTATTATAATGTAATTTACGCGCTTATAGCTAAAATATATTTTTAAAGGTTTACATTATCCTAATTTAAAATAAAGAAAATAATATTTGAGGAAAGTAGAAAGCTTTGAAATACTGACGTTAAGCACCACGTCAAATACTGACGTTAAGCACCACGTCAAATACTGACGTTAAGCACCACGTCAAATACTGACGTTAAGCACCACGTCAAATACTGACGTTAAGCACCACGTCAAATACTGACGTTAAGCACCACGTCAAATACTGACGTTCCCTAATACACGTTAAGCACACGTCAAATACTGACGTTAAGCACCACGTCAAATACTGACGTTAAGCACCACGTCAAATACTGACGTTAAGCACCACGTCAAATACTGACGTTAAGCACCACGTCAAATACTGACGTTAAGCACCACGTCAAATACTGACGTTAAGCACCACGTCAAATACTGACGTTAAGCACCACGTCAAATACTGACGTTAAGCACCACGTCAAATACTGACGTTAAGCACCACGTCAAATACTGACGTTAAGCACCACGTCAAATACTGACGTTAAGCACCACGTCAAATACTGACGTTAAGCACCACGTCAAATACTGACGTTAAGCACCACGTCAAATACTGACGTTAAGCACCACGTCAAATACTGACGTTAAGCACCACGTCAAATACTGACGTTAAGCACCACGTCAAATACTAGACGTTAAGTGCACCACGTCAAATACTGACGTTAAGCACCACGTCAAATACTGACGTTAAGCACCACGTCAAAATACTGACGTTAAGCACCACGTCAAATACTGACGTTAAGCACCACGTCAAATACTGACGTTAAGCACCACGTCAAATACTGACGTTAAGCACCACGTCAAATACTGACGTTAAGCACCACGTCAAATACTGACGTTAAGCACCATGTCAAATACTGACGTTAAGCACCACGTCAAATACTGACGTTAAGCACCACGTCAAATACTGACGTTAAGCACCACGTCAAATACTGACGTTAAGCACCACGTCAAATACTGACGTTAAGCACCATGTCAAATACTGACTTTAAGCACCACGTCAAATACTGACGTTAAGCACCATGTCAAATACTGACGTTAAGCACCACGTCAAATACTGACGTTAAGCACCACGTCAAATACTGACGTAGTACAATGATTTAGATTATTTCCAATCACAGCATTCACAAAATACACAGTAATAAGAAAGCCCATAGGATCTAGCAGAGTTCTGGCGAATTTCTTTGACTATGAAATTCTAGAAATTCCTTAATTAATAATAAGATAGTTACGCATACCAGGGATTACGAGGGTCATTAAAATGTGTATTTACTGTATACTGGGATACATACACCTCTCGTTTGACAGCCTTTTTGCTCTCTCATATCACAATCAGCTCACAGACGAAATGTTCATGGTCTCAATAACTCGACAGAGCGACAATATGACGCACCTGTGGTCAACCACTGCTTCTTGTGATAGTAAACTTCTGAATTTAGTTGACTGTGCTGGTGGCATCAACCCTTGACATCGTGCTAGGACCACTCGGATTTGTTGTACTGTTTGCTGAGAGCAGTTACCAGGTTGACAGGCTGTCACACGGCCTGGTCACAGCGGTTATGAGGCTTCGGGCCAAGCCCCGCGAGGTCATCTATCAAAAGTCTGCTTTGGCTTGAGCTCAGCTGTATGCGCCGTTGACAGCTTGATATACAGTGCAATGTGTCACTGGCAGTATACTGTAGAGGACTTTGGATGAAGCAATTGTACACGAAGAAAGTGTTCATTACTGACACAAAATGAACAGTGATTTATGTGATGACACAAATGAGTGTATGTGCTGACACAAATGAAAGTGATATGTGTATGACAGATGACAGTGATGTGTGACCGTGACAGATGAAAGTGATTATGTGCCTACACGATAAGGGATTATGTGACACGAATGAAAGTGAATGTGACTGACATGAATGAAAGTGATTATGTGACTGACACAAATGAAAGTGATTATGTGATGACACAAATGAAAGTGATTGTGACGTGACACAAATGAATGATTGTGATGACGATGATTCCCGACAGAATGAATGATTGTGACTGTGACACGAATGAAAGTGATTATGTGACTGACACAAATGAAAGTGATTATGTGACTGACACAAATGAAAGTGATTATGTGACTGACACGAATGAAAGTGATTGTGACCGTGACACGAATGAATGATTGTGACTGTGACACGAATGAAAGTGATTATGTGACTGACACGAATAAAGGTGATTATGTGACTGTGACACGAATGAAAGTGATTATGTGACTGACATGAATGAAAGTGATTGTGACTGTGACAAAAATGATTGTGACCGTGACACAAATGACAGTGATTATGTGACTGTGACACAAATGAAAGTGATTATGTGATTGTGACACGAAAAGTGATGTATGTTGAATGCAGTGATGATGATTGTGACACGAAAGTGATTATGTAACTGTGATACGAATGACAGTGATTATGTGATTGTGACACGAATGAAAGTGATTACCTGGAGAGAGTTCTGGGGGTCAACGCCCCCGCGGCCAGGGCCGTGACCAGGCCTCCTGGTGGATCAGAGCTGATCAACCAGGCTGTTACTGCTGGCTGCACGCAAACCAACGTACGAGCCACAGCCCGGCTGATCAGGAACTGACTTTAGGTGCTTGTCCAGTGCCAGCTTGAAGACTGCCAGGGGTCTGTTGGTAATCCCCCTTATGTGTGCTGGGAGGCAGTTGAACAGTCTCGGGCCCCTGACACTTATTGTATGGTCTCTTAACGTGCTAGTGACACCCCTGCTTTTCATTGGGGGGATGTTGTATCGTCTGCCAAGTCTTTTGCTTTCGTAGTGAGTGATTTTCGTGTGCAAGTTCGGTACTAGTCCCTCTAGGATTTTCCAGGTGTATATAATCATGTATCTCTCCCGCCTGCGTTCCAGGGAATACAGGTTCAGGAACCTCAAGCGCTCCCAGTAATTGAGGTGTTTTATCTCCGTTATGCGCGCCGTGAAGGTTCTCTGTACATTTTCTAGGTCGGCAATTTCACCTGCCTTGAAAGGTGCTGTTAGTGTGCAGCAATATTCCAGCCTAGATAGAACAAGTGACATGAAGAGTGTCATCATGGGCTTGGCCTCCCTAGTTTTGAAGGTTCTCATTATCCATCCTGTCATTTTTCTAGCAGATGCGATTGATACAATATTATGGTCCTTGAAGGTGAGATCCTCCGACATGATCACTCCCAGGTCTTTGACGTTGGTGTTTCGCTCTCTTTTGTGGCCAGAATTTGTTTTGTACTCTGATGAAGATTTAATTTCCTTGTGTTTACCATATCTAAGTAATTGAAATTTCTCATCGTTGAACTTCATATTGTTTTCTGCAGCCCACTGAAAGATTTGGTTGATGTCCGCCTGGAGCCTTGCAGTATCTGCAATGGAAGACACTGTCATGCAGATTTGGGTGTCATCTGCAAAGGAAGACACGGTGCTGTGGCTGACATCCTTGTCTATGTCAGATATGAGGATGAGGAACAAGATGGGAGTGAGTACTGTGCCTTGTGGAACAGAGCTTTTCACCGTAGCTGCCTCAGACTTTACTCTGTTGACTACTGCTCTCTGTGTTCTGTTAGTGAGGAAATTATAGATCCATCGACCGACTTTTCCTGTTATTCCTTTAGCACGCATTTTGTGTGCTATTACGCCATGGTCACACTTGTCGAAGGCTTTTACAAAGTCTGTATATATTACATCTGCATTCTTTTTGTCTTCTAGTGCATCTAGGACCTTGTCGTAGTGATCCAATAGTTGAGACAGAAAGGAGCGACCTGTTCTAAACCCATGTTGCCCTGGGTTGTTTAACTGATGGGTTTCTAGATGGGTGGTGATCTTGCTTCTTAGGACCCTTTCAAAGATTTTTATGATATGGGATGTTAGTGCTATCGGTCTGTAGTTCTTTGCTGTTGCTTTACTGCCCCCTTTGTGGAGTGGGGCTACGTCTGTTGTTTTTAGTAACTGGGACGACCCCCGTGTCCATGCTCCCTCTCCATAGGATGGTAAAAGCTCGTGATAGGGGCTTCTTGCAGTTCTTGATGAACACGGAGTTCCATGAGTCTAGCCCTGGGGCAGAGTGCATGGGCATGTCATTTATCGCCTGTTCGAAGTCACATGGCGTCAGGATAACATCAGATAGGCTTGTGTTAACCAAATTCTGTGGCTCTCTCATAAAAAATTCATTTTGATCTTCGACTCTCAGTCTGGTTAGCGGCTTGCTAAAAACTGAGTCATACTGGGACTTAAGTAGCTCACTCATTTCCTTGCTGTCATCTGTGTAGGACCCATCTTGTTTAAGTATGGGCCCAATACTGGACATTGTTCTCGACTTTGATTTGGCATAGAAGAAATACTTTGGGTTTCTTTCGATTTCATTTATGGCTTTTAGTTCTTCCCGCAATTCCTGACTCCTATAAGATTCCTTTAGCTTAAGTTCGATGCTTGCTATTTCTCTGACCAGTGTCTCTCTACGCCTTTCAGATACATTGACCTCTTTTAGCCGCTCTGTTATTCTTTTCCATTGCCTGTAAAGGGAGAGCCTGTCCCTTTCTATTTTACATCTACTCCTCCTTTTTCTTAGAGGAATAAACGTTGTGCATACATCGAGCGCCACCGAGTTAATCTGTTCTAGGCATAAGTTGGGGTCTGTGTTGCTTAGTATATCTTCCCAGCTTATATCAGTTAGGATTTGGTTTACTTGGTCCCACTATGTTTTTGTTATTGAAGTTGAATTTGGTGAAGGCTCCCTCGTGACTGATCTCATAATGTCGGTCTGGGGCTCCGCGCATACATGTCTGAACCTCAATTATGTTGTGATCTGAGTATATTGTTTTTGATATGGTGACATTTCGTATCAGATCATCATTGTTAGTGAAGATGAGGTCTAGTGTATTCTCCAGTCTAGTAGGCTCTATTATTTGCTGGTTTAAATTGAATTTTGTGCAGAGATTTAAAAGCTCGTGTGAGTGTGAGTTTTCATCAGAGCTGCCTCCTGGTGTTATTACTGCAACAATATTATTTGCTATATTCCTCCATTTTAGGTGCCTTAAGTTGAAATCCCCCAGGAGCAAGATGTTGGGTGCAGGAGCTGGCAGATTTTCCAGACAGTGGTCAATTTTTAACAGCTGTTCCTGGAATTGCTGGGATGTTGCATCCAGAGGCTTGTAGACTACCACAATGACTAGGTTTTGGTCTCGATCTTTACTGCTAAAACTTCCACTACATCATTTGAGGCATTTAGCAGTTCTGTGCAAACAAGTGACTGCAATGTACAGGCCAACCCCCCCCCCCCTTTTGCCTGTTCACTCTGTCACATCTGTATAGGTTGTAACCTGGGATCCATATTTCGTTGTCCAAGTGATCCCTACCTCTTGATAAAAATTATCATTTTAGCACCTACACATCCTATTATTATTATAATGCTAATCATACCTAAGCACTAAACAAGGGTCATACAGCTCTGTAAACATCCTATTAACAATCTGAACTTTCCTTTAAATAAGATACATCAATGTTAAAAATTTGAAGTTGATCAAAATAGATATTATGCTATCATGAAGAAACCTCTGGGGTAGAAAAACTGGCTAGCTATAATTTTTGTATTCAAGGAAAGCACTAAACCCATAATGGTCATTCAGTGCTACATGACACAAGTTAAAGAGATGCTAAAATGGGAAAAGTAGAGGAGTCTAGATAAGGACACTGAAAATTGTGTGAAATGGAGGCTCAATCCTCCAAAATCCCAAACAAAAGTACAGTGTAAAGGACCCAGCAATGGCATCAGGTCAGGACACTGGAGGATCAGGAGCTCCTTGCCAGCAGTAAGCAGCCTCCCATGAGGGGCTAAGATTATTATTATTATTATAATCATAACTAAGCACTAAGGGGTAAGTAAGAGCACAGCTGCTTCTGAATCACTTTCTCAAATATTTTTTAATTTGGTGGATTAAGTATTGGTCTGAAATTGTTAACCAGTTTGATCACCACCTTTGTTTATGAGTGTTGCTCTTTTGACATGTTACGTAAAATGACACAACTGCAACCAATGTGACATTTTATTGTAGTCATGTTTCACTCTCCAGGAGCTTTATCAAGCGTTATGGCTTGATAAAGCTCCTGGAGAGTGAAACGTGACTACAACAAAATGTCACATTGGTTGCAATTGTGTCCTTTTACTTAACATATTGTTGGTAATTCTACCAATATTAATACATGCTTTTGACATAACCTGTTATCATTATTATTATAATCATGGGGGAGCGCTAAACCCATAGGATTATACAGCGCATGTAGGGGGAGGGGGATGGAAGGTATTCAGGCTCAATTCAGGGAACCTGAGCACAGATCCAATTCACTAGATCAAGAGCCCTTCACTAGCATCAAGGAACTGCCCTTGAGGGGTTGACAGTCTGACAAGGTGTGTTTTTTAAGTATTTTTTGAAAAGTACTGAAATAGATGGATATAATATTGTACTTGTATAGTTTCCTTTTAGATAATAGTGGATATTCCTTATTACTGTCTCCTGCCTCAAATGTTTTATTGAAGAACGTTAGTAAATTTGTCAGGCAGGAACGACCTCTCATGAACCCATGCTGAGATTTAAAGAGAGGGCCTAGCCTATACTGTGGACCTCCGGTTCGCGAAGTCATCGGTATCCGATGAATTCGGTATCCGAAGCATTATATCACAAAAAATTTGCCTCGGTTCCCGTTACAAAACCCGGTATGCAATACGATTCATACGAGACGTGTCCACGTGTGGCCTGAACTGCCCCGTGTGTGCCCGTGTTTACAAGCCAGCCAGTGTGCACGCATCTAAGGATACATTCGGTACATTCCATATTATCACTGTTTTTGGTGCTTGTTTCTGCAAAATAAGTCACCATGGGCCCCAAGAAAGCTTCTAGTGCCAACCCATCGAGACCAAGGGTGCTAATGACTATTGAAATGAAGAAAGAGATAATTGCAAAGTACGTATGAAAGTGGAGTGCGTGTGTCGGACCTGGCCAAGTTGTACATTAAATTCCAATCAACCATCTCTACTATAGTGAGCAGGAAAACGGCAATCAAGGAAGCTGGAGGAGGAGGAGGACAATGACGAACTAACCACTGATGAGCTGCTAGATCATCTTCAACAGCAAGAGGCCAGACCTGAGGAAACCGCTTCGGAGGAGGGGATAGAGAAATTGACGAAGTTGCCTACTTCAAAGATTAAGGAAATGTGTGCAAAGTGGCTTGAAGTGCAAACCTTTTTTGATGAAAATCACCCTGACACAGCTATTGCAAGCCGTGTTGGCAACCTGTACACTGACAATGTTGTGAACCACTTTAGGAAAGTCATAAAGGAACGAGAGGTACAGGCCTCTATGTTGTGCGACAGAAGTCCAGTGACTCTCAAGCTGGTCCTAGTGGCATTAAAAGAAGAAGGGAAGTAACCCCGGAAAAGGACTTGCTACCTCAAGTCCTAATGGAGGGGGATTTTCCTTCTAAACATTAAAAACTTCGACACTCTCCCCTCCCATCAATCATCACCAGATCTTCATTAAAGGTAAGTGTCAATTATTCTATTGTAATTATTCTATTGTTATTATTGTTACTGTAATTATTCTATTGCATTAAACTTAATATTTCATGTGGTAAAAGTTTTTTTTTTTTTTCATACTTTTGGGTGTCTTGCACAGATTAATTTGATTTCCATTATTTCTTATGGGGAAAATTGATTCGCTTTCTGATAATTTTGCTTTACGATGAGCTCTCAGGAACGGATTAATAACGTGAACCGGGGGTCCACCGTACTTCTTTTCACTGTCATTCTGGGATGTTTAACGTTTTTTTAATTGCTGTGATTTTTGTAGACAATGTACATATATTTTAGTAATGTTTCGGAATCACGAGAAAGCTTTCTCCTCCAGACTCTATATTACAGCTGAGATTCAGCTCTCTTAACCAATTTATGTGCTTAATGACATCAGTATTATAAAATCTAAAAGTTACTGTTCTTGAAACATCAGACAGTTCCTTACAAAAGACTAATATACAAACCACAAAATATAGGAGGAAGAAAATGCAAATTATTACAATATTATTATTTATTTAAAAAAATAGTATGAACACTGTTAAGAAATATACATTTATGGAGAAATGAAACAAGTGGGGGTACCACAAGTATTAGTGCAGAAAATCCTCAATATAACAGACTAAAAGGGAGATTGTCTGGGTGTCCATTAAATAAAAATAATATTCATAAATAGCCAAAAAAAAAAAAATACATACTATATACATGTATACATTTAATATAGAATTTGTAGTACAGTATATTACAATAAACATTGAAAATAAAGGAGCTTAAAGCACAATTTACCCAGTGAATTTTGCCCATTATTTTAAAAGTCCATTATATCAAGGGTTTACTGTATTTTTATATGATAACGTTTGTAATTTACTCCAAATTATTTTTCCATATGAATAAAAAACTACATGACTATATTTGCAGATGATGCAAAAATTCTATAAATGCATAATAAATACTATAACACTTTCTATAAGATCTCCATAAGTTAAACAAATGGAGTGGCAGAGATGATGAAATTTAAAAGATGACTAATACAAATGAGAAAACGTGAAAACGAGCCATATGAAGAATGTGGATTTGGTGACAAAGTAATGAAAATGACGGAAAGAAGGATCTAGGAAACTGGACTCAAGTCCTGTAAGTGGGAAGTACAGTAACTGCACTCTGAACGAGCAGTTGGGATTTTTACAGTCTGGAGGGGCATCTGAACTGTAGTATAGGCACACCTCTTCCAAAACAGTGACAGAGTGAATGATGATGAAAGTGTTTTTTTTTTTTTCCGGGTCACCCAACCTTGGTGTGAGATGGCCGGTGTGTTGGAAAAAAAAAATGCAGTAGTGAGAAACTCATCTGCTACACTGGCAAACCTCAAAATAGGTTGCGAATACTGTACATGGATTGCAAAATGTTAGAAAACTGTTAACATCATGTTAGCTCAAAACTGTAACATACAGCTGAATGTGGTGTAACAAAAAAAAAAAAAAAAAAAAAAAAAAAAAAAAAAAAAAAAAAAAAAAAAAAAAAAAAAAGAAGTGCATGCAAATAATGCTACAAATTGGCTTCCAAAACTGGTAAATATGAGATGGAAAAAACTGAAACATTGAGAATACTCATGTTGGCTGAAAGGAGAAAAGGAGCACACATGGTAACCAACATCAGCAGGAAAAACAGGAGACCACAGATAGACAAAATGGTACTAAATGAATACAAAAAGAATTCTATCACAATTAGTGAAACTAAACATTGAAGATGGGCTACCATGAGCATGGCTTTGCTCCAGTAACCACACTAAGTGATCACATGCTCACTTACTGCCCTTGGCTAACTGCCAATGAAGTCGAGATCATTCCACGAATATTTCATTTCATGTCACTAGTGACATATATACATTATATTATGGTCACACAAATTTCATCATAACACACTGTAAGCTCTGACATTCTTCCATAAGGTTTTATGTGAAACTTTGTTTTTAGCCTAAAAACAAATGTTGTTTTAGGACTTGACATGCTGTTGGAGTGAGCAAGGTGACATTCATGAAGGGATTCAGGGAAACCGGCAGGCTGGACTTGAGTCCTAGAGATGGGAAGTACAGTGCCTGCATTCTGAAGGAGGGGTGTTAATGTTGCAGTTTAAAAACTGTAGTGAGAAGCACCCTTCTGGCAAGACAGTGATGGAGTGAATGATGGTGAAAGTTTTTCTTTTTCGGGCCACCCTGCCTTGGTGGGAAACGGCCAATACGTTAAAAAAAAAAAAAAAAAAAAAGTTTTTTTTTTTTTCCAACAAGTCGGCCGTCTCCCACCGAGGCAGGGTGACCCAAAAAAGAAAGAAAATCCCCAAAAAGAAAATACTTTCATCATCATTCAACACTTTCACCACACTCGCACATTATCACTGTTTTTGCAGAGGTGCTCAGAATACAACAGTCTAGAAGCATACACATATAAAGATACACAACATATCCCTCCAAACTGCCAATATCCCAAACCCCTCCTTTAAAGTGCAGGCATTGTACTTCCCATTTCCAGGACTCAAGTCCGACTATATGAAAATAACCGGTTTCCCTGAATCCCTTCACTAAATATTACCCTGCTCACACTCCAACAGATCGTCAGGTCCCAAGTACCATTCGTCTCCATTCACTCCTATCTAACACGCTCACGCACGCTTGCTGGAAGTCCAAGCTCCTTGCCCACAAAACCTCCTTTACCCCCTCTCTCCAACCCTTTCTACTTTATTCCTATATTGTATATCTTACCAGCAAGGTAGCTTTAAGGCAGTGGTTTTATTCTTTCAAAGTTGAAAATTCTATTAATATGAGAATTCAATTTAATCAATAAATTTATATATTTACTTTCTTTTTGGGTCACCCTGCCTCGGTGGGAAATGGCTGTGTTAAAAAAAAAAAAAAAGTACCCTATACTCCACGGGAAAGTGGAACAGAATTCTTCCTCTGTGAGCCATGCGTGTCGTAAGAGGCGACTAAAATGCAAGGAGCAAGGGGCTAGTAACCCCTTCTCCTGTTTATATTATTAAAAGTTCAAAAGAGGAACTTTTGCTTTTCTTTTGGGCCCATTCCGCTTTGGTGGGATATGGCCAGTTAGTTGAAAGATGTACCCTATAACTCATTAGTTATAATACTAAAAAAAAAAAAAACCTGATTGACTATGCAAGCACCAGAAAAGTCTGGCCTAAGAATGGACTGCAGGAATAGAAAAACTCTCAAAACCTGACAAAGGTATATGAAAGGTAAAGATATGGTGATACCTAACAATTTACTGTACCTGCACTACTGGCATTTTAATATTTAGTGTACTAACTTGTTTAAGTGCTTAATTCAAACCAGAAAAAGCAGGCCCATGGCAGCTGTAGCAATCACAAGTAATCTGGGAGTAGAAAGACTCTCAGAATTCATCAAAGATGTAAGATTCACTGTATTTTGTAAACAACACTACTGCATAAAAGTAAATTATACAGCACATAAGGAGTTGCCAGTTGAAATAGGGCATCACATGAAAGTGAATTCACATTTGGCAAACCCACATAAGGCACTATACTATACAGTGACTGTGTCTTATTGTGAGGATAATCAATGGCAGAGTGATAAGCAGAATTATGGCCGAATTTGCAACCAAATTTATGACATGAGTGGTGTAGTAACCTTCAGCTGATGGAATACTGTCATCAGTGTTACCATGGGTCCAAGGCTGCAGGATTTCACGCCAGCAGGTCCCACCTAAGCACCAGCGGTCCTGCATAGCTTCCCAAAATCTAAAAGTGAACCAGTAAGGTGAGAAAGATTAAATATATAAACAAATAAACAAGTATATGTATATATATATATATATATATATATGTCATGTATGTACGCTACGTATGTAATGAATAGTAAAATAAAAATAAAAATTAGAAAGTGTGAGCCCATGTCAAGAGGGTCTACAATGATCACACTATCAATTTATAAAAAAAATGTTTAAAAATATATAACAATACTACAATATTTACAAAGAAGATTATTTACCAGAATTTTTGCTACAGCATATTCACATTAAAATAAAGTCTAATTTCAGCATCATTAATTTTTGTAGACACTGATTTCATAAGTATTAGTTTGTAAATAACCTTGTCTTCATATACTACTACACAGTACAATATAAAGCTTTCTTTTCATATAGAAAGAACCACAGCAAAGGTTAAATTGCTTGATCATTAATGTTTAGCTAGTGGAAAAAATGGAGAATGCTACTATTGTCAAGAAAATTTGCAAAGATCTCCTGAATTACTGATGATCAAACCTGTCACAGAAGACAAAATGTGGTAGTTTGTTGTGCATAATGGTTAGGAATATACATCTTCCCTAAGGAAGCAACTTAGTTGCAATTAAAGATTTATGCTATTTCTTTGACCCAGTAAGCAATGTTGCCAGAGTCTTTAGGCAGAAAAAGCCGAACTAACTGCTACCAACAATAAAGGACTTCTTCTGAAGTCCTTTATTGTTCTGGATCTCAATCCAGACAGTTACATGTCTAGATTAATGTGATCATAGAGGAGTTTTGCAATAATTACATACTAATAAGGCCCCCACAGGAATGCTGAGTAAAATTTAACAAATATTTTCACTTCAACTTTCTACTTTACACACATTCCCAAACTCATCCACTAACCTTTGCAATTTTTCTTTAGAATCTCCATAAGCACAGTATCATCAGCAAAAAGTAAACTGTGTCAATTCCCATTTTGAATTTGATTCCCAAAATTTTTAATTCCCCAAACCCTCTCCCAAACCCCCTAGCATTTACTTCCTTTACAACCCATCTATAAATATATTAAACAACCATGGTGACATTACACATCCCTGTCTAAGACCTACTTTTACCGGGAAGGTAGTCTCCCTCTCTTCTACACCCCCCTAACCTGAGCCTCACAAATCCTCATAAAAACTCTTTACAGCATTTAATAACTTCCCACCTATTCCATATACTTGCAACATCTGCCACATTGCTCCTCTATCCACTCTATCATGCCTTTTCTAAATCCATAAATGCAATAAAAACTTCCCTTATCTTTACTAAATACTGTTCACATTATGCTTCAATGTAAACACCTGATCTACACATCCCCTACCCACTCTAAAACCTCCTTGCTCATCCGCAATTCCTACATTCTGTCTTACCTCAAATTTTTCTTTCAATTATAACCCTACCGTTACACTTTTCTGGTATACTCAGTAAGCTTATTCCTCTATATTTTTCAGTCTCTTTGTCCCTTTCCCCCTTTATATAAAGGGACTATACATGCTCTTCACCAATCCTAGGTACCTTCCCCTCTTTCATACATTTATTAAACAAAAGTACCAACCACCCCAACACTATATCCCCCCCCTGCTTTTAACATTTCTGTCCATGATCCATCATTTCCAGCTGTTTTACCCCTTTCATTTTACGTAATGCCTCACGTACCCCCCCCACACTTACATTCGCTCCTTCTTCACTCCAAAAGAGGTTTTAAACCTCCCTGAGCAGTGCATGAAATTACTGCCTCTGTTTCTTCTTAAAACTTTTTAAATTTCCCTCAAAATATTCTTGCCATTACCCAAAAACCTCCATCTCCCCATCTACTAACTCCCCTACTTGTTTTTAACTGACAAATCCATTTTTTTCCCTAGGCTTTCTTAACTTGTTTTAACTCACTCCAAAATTTTTTTTCTTATTTTCATTAAAATTTCTTGACAGTGCCTCTCCACTCTATCATCTGCTCTCCTTTTTCACTCTCCACACTCTCTTTACCTTTCTTTTACTCTCCATATACTCTGTCTTCTTATAACACTTCTGCCCTTTGTAAAAACCTCTCATAAGCTACCTTTTTCTCTTTTATCACACCCTTTACTTCATCATTCCACCAATCACTCCTCTTTCCTCTGCCCCCACCCTCCTATAACCACAAACTTTTGCCCCACATTCTAATACTGCATTTTTAAAACTATTTCCAACCCTCTTCAACCCCCCCACTATCATCTTTGCACTAGCCCACCTTTCTGCCCAAAAGTCGCTTATATCTCACCCGAACTTCCCCTCCCTTAGTTTTATACACTTTCACTTCCTCTTACTTGTTGTTGCCACCTTCCTCTTTTCCCATCTCCTCTTACTCTAACTGTAGCTACAACTAAATAATGATCCGATATATCAGTTGCCCCTTTTAAACATGTACAATTTCCTGGAGCCTAAACCCATCAACCTTTTATCCACCAATAACATAATCTAATAAACTACTTTCATTACGTGCTACATCATAAACCCTTTTATATTTATTTTATCCCCTTTTTTAAAAAAATATGTAATTACTTAAATTACCAAATTTCTTTCTACACATAGCTCAATTAAAGGCTCCCCATTTACATTTACCCTGGCACCCCCAAATTTACCTACTACTCCCTCCATAACATTTTTACCCACTTTAGCATTAAACCCAACCACCATTACTCTCACACTTGATTCAAAACTCCCACGATTTACTCAACATTTCCCAAAATCTCTCTTCTCTTACACTTCTCTCTTCTCCAGGTGCATAAAACGCTTATTATAACCCACTTTTAAACATCCAATCTTTATTTTTATCCACATAATCCTTAAATTTTAATACTTTTATAGTCCCTCTTTCCTGCCATAGCTTATCCTTCAACATTATTGCTACTCCTTCTTTAGTTTCTAACTCTATTTGAAACCCCTGCCCTAATCCCATTTATTTCCTCTCCACTGAAACTCTCCCCCCCCTTCAGCTTTGTTTCACTTAAAGCCAGGACATCCAGCTTCTTTTCATTCAAAAACATCCACAATCATCTTTTTCTTATCATCTGCCAACATCCACGCACATTCAGACTTCCACTTTGACAATTTTCTTCTTCTTATTCTTTTTAGTAATCTTTACAGGAAAAGGGGTACTAGCCCATTGTTCCCGGCTTTTAGTTGACTTTTACAACAGCATGGCTTACGGAGGAAGATTCTTATTCCACTTCCCCATGGATATAAAAGGAAAATTAATAAGACCAAGAAACTATTAAGATAAAATCAAAGAAACTCAGATGAGTGTGTATAAATAAATGTGTACATGTATGTGTAGTGTGGGCCTAAGTGTAAGTAGAAGTAGCAAGACATGCCCGTAATCTTGCATATTTATGAGACAGACAAAAGAACATCAGCAATCCTACCATCATGTAAAAAAAATCACAGGCTTCGTTTTACACTCACTTGGCAGGACGGTTTGTACCTCCCTGGGTGGTTGCTGTCTACCAACCTACTTACATATATAATATATATATATTATATATATATATTTTAAAATATTTTATATTTTATATTATATATATTATATATTATATATATATATATATATATATATATTTTATATTATAGGTAGTAGGTTGGTAAAACAGCAAACCGCCCAGGGAGGTACTACCGTCCTGCCCAAATGAGTGTAAAAAAGAAAGCCTGTAATTGTTTTACATGATGGTAGGATTTTCTGGTGTCCTTTTTTCTGTCTCATGAAATGCAAGATTTCAGGTCGTCTTTCTACTTCTACTTACACTTAGGTCACACTACACATACATGTACAAGCACATTATACACACCCCTCTGGGTTTTCTTCTATTTTCTTTCTAGTTCTTATTCTTGTTTTTTTCTCTTATCTCCATGGGGAAGTGGAACAGAATTCTTCCCCCGTAAGCCATGCGTGTTGTAAGAGGCAACTAAAATGCCGGGAGCAAGGGGCTAGTAACCTCTTCTCCTGTATATATTCTAAATGTAAAAGGAGAAACTTTGTTTTTCCTTTTGGGCCACCCCGCCTCGGTGGGATACGGCCGGTGTGTTGAAAGAAGAAAGATATATATTTTATATATATATATATTTTTAATATATATATATATATATATATATATATATATTATAGGTAGTAGGTTGGTAGACAGCAACCGCCCAGGGAGGTACTACCGTCCTGCCAAGTGAGTGTAAAACGAAAGCACTGTAATTGTTTTACATGATGGTAGGATTGCTGGTGTCCTTTTTTCTGTCTCATGAACATGCAAGATTTCAGGTACGTCTTGCTACTTCTACTTACACTTAGGTCACACTACACATACATGTACAAGCACATATATACACACCCTCTGGGTTTTCTTCTATTTTCTTTCTAGTTCTTATTCTTGTTTATTTCCTCTTATCTCCATGGGGAAGTGGAACAGAATTCTTCCTCCGTAAGCCATGCGTGTTGTAAGAGGCAACTAAAATGCCGGGAGCAAGGGGCTAGTAACCTCTTCTCCTGTATATATTACTAAATGTAAAAGGAGAAACTTTCGTTTTTCCTTTTGGGCCACCCCGCCTCGGTGGGATACGGCCGGTGTGTTGAAAGAAAGAAGATATATATATATGTCATGTATGTACGCTACGTATGTAATGAATAGTAAAATAAAAATAAAAATTAGAAAGTGTGAGCCCATGTCAAGAGGGTCTACAATGATCACACTATCAATTTATAAAAAAAAATGTTTAAAAATATATAACAATACTACAATATTTACAATGAAGATTATTTACCAGAATTTTTGCTACAGCATATTCACATTAAAATAAAGTCCAATTTCAGCATCATTAATTTTTGTAGACACTGATTTCATAAGTATTAGTTTGTAAATAACCTTGTCTTCATATACTACTACACAGTACAATATAAAGCTTTCTTTTCATATAGAAAGAACCACAGCAAAGGTTAAATTGCTTGATTATTAATGTTTAGCTAGTGGAAAAAATGGAGAATGCTACTATTGTCAAGAAAATTTGCAAAGATCTCCTGAATTACTGATGATCAAACCTGTCACAGAAGACAAAATGTGGTAGTTTGTTGTGCATAATGGTTAGGAATATACATCTTCCCTAAGGAAGCAACTTAGTTGCAATTAAAGATTTATGCTATTTCTTTGACCCAGTAAGCAATGTTGCCAGAGTCTTTAGGCAGAAAAAGCCGAACTAACTGCTACCAACAATAAAGGACTTCTTCTGAAGTCCTTTATTGTTCTGGATCTCAATCCAGACAGTTACATGTCTAGATTAGGGTGATACATAGAGCAAGTGTTTGCAATAATACATACTAATAAGGGCCCCACAGGAAGCTGGAGTAAAATTTTAACACCCATAGAGGTACAGCAACACTTTACAAAGACATTCTAAAAATCCTGGCTGATAAAGAGCTTTCTTTACAGTATATAAAAAGTGGAAAAACTGTAAACACATGAGAATATTGGTAAAGCAATTAAGCTTAAAGAAAATTATTATTACCGTGATAGCTTTAATGGTCTAGGATGCTTCATGAATGTAACACTTGTTGTCAGAGAAAGAGATCCTTCACTTACATCAGAGTGGAACAATATTTCTTTGTGATGATACCTGCAATTAGATTTAAAGTTAAAAAATAATGTTTAAAAAGCATTTTTTTTTTTTGCTGAAATCAATGCTGTTGTATAAAAAAGGTTCTATCTTTTACACAGAAGTGATAGTAAAAGGACTAATAAAAAATCTCATCTAAGTAAAAGTTGCTTTGTAATTTAAACAGGGTAATGTTTATCTAATATAGTCAGTGATTACAGGTCATTGTACTGTTTATGTATCAATCACACTGTAATTACACTGAAACCTTATTTTCCTGAAGAGGTTTAACAGCAGATGAGCAACAGAATGACCTTTCCTGAAGCCATTACTGTCTTAATAAAATGGTCACAGATAATGAAAGTGTTCTTTTACTGAAAAATATACCAGTTTATAATTTAAAATGTAGAACATCAGTCACAATCAAGAATCATGCCACCAGTAATCAGTAAAATACAAAGAATGTACTTCTGTGTATAAATAAATAAATCAAAATCTAAATCACAAAAATACTATATTAGATTCAGTATGATAAATTTACTGCAATTTAGTTTCAAATAATGCAATGCCTAATAACAGGGAACTGTTTGACTGTTAATTTTTTAAAAGATCTCTCTCACAGCCTAAATGTTTAATTCAAATGCATAAACACAAAAGATAATATGGTAAAAAGACACTTGGTGCAACACAAACCTTCATAACAAATAAGGGCAACTTCATAAGCTTTATACAGAAGAACTGGAAGTATGGGCTGTCTCGAAGAGGCTTAATTATACTGTTTTCATTTAGGATGCTTAGGGAAAGTTTGTATTTTCTCAAGGGCTTCAGCCTACCACTTGTTGCCACCCCCTAATAATAAATCTTTTGGTCTGGGTAGTTATGGTTTTATAAAGCTCTACTACAAGTGAAGTGTCATATATTATAAAAGTTAGCTCAGCACCCTGCACCTTTCTGCCAGGCTACTTTACAATACTTGTCACCCCATACAAAAAAATCACAGAATAAACAAAACATAGATCTTACTTGATGTGAGCACCTATAACTTGGTAGACAGAAAGTGCATTTTTAGTTGTAACATCACTAATGTCTTGATAAAGAATTCTATACTCCAGAGAAAATGGAACTTGGCAGACAGCATTGTAAGAGTGATTGTTTTTTGGGTAAGCATCCCTGAAAAGTAAATACATATGATACACTGTACTTCACCAATATTGCAAATACAAATACAATAAATAAAAAAAATATTGATTAAACTGCAACTGACAACCAAACTAAAATTCAAGAAAGATATGAATGTAATGCTGAGTATGTGGAGATAATGATTAAGGGTTACCAAAGTATTAGTATCACCGGGTATCAGATAATTTTGATAGTGAGTAAAATAATGGCATGCAATACTGACAAGTAAATAAGACACATGTTCAACATTTAGGTATCTTCATTCTGAAATTTATTAATCCAGCAGGCTTCATCAATCAAGCTTGAAAACTGACCACATCATCATTTCCTCTCCTACTGCTGCTGTCTCCATATTTATAACCTTTGTATTCAACTGATGAAGCCTGCTGTTTAGGCAAACTATTTTGGCATAAGGATGCCTAATTGTTACACATGTATCTTTACTTACATAATTTTAATGCTATCGGTATCAGTTGATACTGGTCAATTTTAATGGTATCAGTGGGTAGCAGATAATTTTCATGGTATTGGTATCTGCCTAAAATTGAGTATCAGCATTGGCAAAATTTTTTGCATTGTCCCATCACAATTATAACAACAGATTATGTAGAAAGGGGGACTGTTTTCCATTGAAAGTAAGCCCTAGAGAGGGATGCATGATATCACTACAGTTTTAAATACTATACAGATAATGTTGTAAAATAATCTGAATGCTAGAGTGTTGGGGAAAATGTGTGAGATTAAAAGATGAGGAGTCTAATACAAAGTGAGAGTTGTGATAGTTGGTCTTTGTCAATGACAGTTCTCTTGGGGCATTCTGAAGAGAAATTGAAAGATTGGTGGAGGCATTTGGGAATTAAAAATAACCAAAGAAAAGAGCACAGAGATGAAAGCAACAAAAAGTCCAGGCAATGAAAGACTAGATATCAGACTGAAGAGAAGGAACATGAAAGAAGCGAATGTATTTAGTATCTTGGAGTGGACATGTCGATGGAAGGGTCTACAAAAGATAAAAAAAAAAAAAAAATATAGAACAGATGAGGAAAAGAATGTAGGTAGAATGTTGAGGTATCTGTGGAAAGAAAAAGGTTTATCTATGGAGGGAAAAAGAAAAATGTACCAGAGTATAGTGATAATTTATTTAGTATGGGTACACATAAATACAATTACACAAATTATCATACACAGCAACATGTGTAAATTACCTAGGATAACCCAAAAAACTTCAGACAAGCGGGTTCTAACCCCACCTGTGGTATGGTTTATTTCCATTGGGGTCCTTGACTTATTTCTATATGGATATGAAGCATAGGCAGTAAACATTGCAGTGAGGAGAGGCTGGAGATAGCAATGTTATGTTTAAATGTAACATGTGATGTGAATATTATGCAGAGAAACTGAAGCATAGAAATTAGAAGTCAATGTGGGGTTACAAAAGGTATAATTCAAATGGTGAAAAGGTTATTGAGGTGGTTTGGGTCATTTAGAGACGATGATGCTGAATGGGAAGACCAAGAGTGTATAAATCTGGGATGAAAGGAAGCAGGGGTAGAGATCAACCCAGAAAAGATCTGAGGACTTTAAGAGAGTTGCAAGTTTGGAGTTATTTTTTTATTATTAACACACTGGCCGATTCCCACCAAGACAGGGTGGCCCAAAAAAGAAAAATTTTCACCATCATTCACTCCATCACTGTCTTGCCAGAAGGGTGCTTTACTCCTGGAGTTGTGAGGGCTTAAGCATCCAGCAGGCATGTGAGCATGTTTGACTAGAATAGGTTAGAGCAAATGGAGACAGTAGGGTTTTATAACTCAAAGTTTTATAACACAGTGTGATCAAAGTAATATTTAAACCAGTTAACTGGACTTGAGTTCTGGAGGAGGGAGGTACAGTGCCTGCACTCTGAATTAGGAGTGCAGCTGTTCAATGTGGGAAGGTCATTTGAATTGTGATGTCTGTGTGCTTCTGACAAGACAGCTCTATCATTAATATATAAAACAGCAGTATGTACTTGTACTTGTACTTTATACAGTAAACCTTCCATATAGCAGGCTAATTAAGGGGTGGAGTTTATGACAGGAAATGATATTTTTTTTTTTTTTTTTGACACAGGGTGGATAGAGAAGAGATTGTTTGGTCATGATTGTAACAATAATAGAAGTCTGTAGCACATGGACTTTGTCATTTGTTTCCAAATTAGCTGACCCAGTAGATTTTGTTCTGGATTTCCATTATATGGAGGTCCACATAAGCTACATTTTTCTGTTCATGATAGGGATATCTTGTAGATAAATATTTATGAATCCACTTACACAATTATAGGAAGGAAGTCATTCTCTGATCTGAAGTTTGGCCACCCAAGCTTACTGACAACCTCTAGTTGGATCAGTGACTGAAAAACAGACTGAATCATTTCTCTGAAAGGAGGAAACAAGAGGGATGTATGGTTATTAATGAAGGCGCAAAAATTTATAATGAAAAAAAAAAAGTATTTATGATTAGCCATGCTTGTAATGTACCATCTTCTACATTTAGTAGTACAGTAACTGTACTGCATTGTACAATACTTGTACTGCATTGTACAATATCTGTACTGCATTGTACAGTACCTTCATTGTACTATACAGTCCCTGCACTGCATAGTACAGTACTTTGCTGCACAGTGCCTGCACTGTACTGTATAGTATGTGTACTGTTGTTGTTGGGGTTTATAGGGCCACTGACTGCATATATGTACTGCACTGTACAGTACTTACACTGAGAAGTATAGTACAGTACTTGTACTGTACTATAGTACAATGCATACAAAACCTCCTTAACCCCCCTCACTCCAACCTTTCCTAGGGTGACCCCTGCCTTGCATATTATTATCTATGAATTGCATTGGTTACACCAAATAATTTGCTCAAATATGTACAGCACACCTTGGCTTTGTGTTGCTGATATCACAATTCAGATTACCCTCCAACTGAACCATCCCCCATCCCTCCTTCAGAGTGCATACACTGACCCAACTACATCCAGGACTCAAGTTCGGTTAACCAGTTTCCCTGAATCCCTTCATAGAAGTTACCTTGCTCACACTCCAGCATCATGTTCATTTGCACAAGCCTGCTGGATGGTCAAATCCTTACAACTCAATGCCATTACACGAATATAACTGAATTACGGTTAGCTGGACTAGAGTCCTGGAAATGGGAAGTACAGTGCCTGCACTTTAAAGGAGGGGTTTGGGATATTGGCAGTTTGGAAGGACTTCTAAACTGTCGTATCTGAGTGCCTTTGCAAAGACTGATTACGTATGAGTGATGGTGAAAGTGTTGAATGATGATGAAAGTATTTTTCTTTCTTTTTGGGTCACCCTGCCTCGGTGGGAAATGGCCGTGTTAAAAAAAAAAATTCAAATTAACTAATTGTGTAACCATATTATTACAGGGCTACTGTAACTGAATCAATTCTTGCAGTAAAAATCTACTTATAGCTTACTTAGTTACCAGAATGCTGGGACAGTCCATGAACCTATTATACTCCTCTATGATGTTTTAACTGTCTCCTACACTGTGGGTAAGGGTGCACAATAGAAATTCAACATCAAATCAATATACAACTGGTTTGGGTGGAACAAGTGTGTTGTATAAAGAGATCAGTGTATACAGTTTGCAATTATGTACAAAATAAACATATAAAATATATTTACTCTTTTTTATTTTTTATTAACACATCGGCCGTTTCCCACCAAGGTAAGATGGCCCGAAAAAGAAAATCTTTCACCATCATTCACTCCATCACTGTTTTGCTAGAGGTGTGCTTACACTGCAGTTATAAGACTGCAACATTACCGCCCTTCCCTCAGGAGTGCAGGCACTGTACTTACCATCTCCAGGACTCAAATCCTAGCCTGCCAGTTTCCCTGGATCCCTTCATAAATATTACCCTGCTCACATTCCAAAAGACGTCAAGCCCTAAAAACCATTTGTCTCCATTCACTCCTAACACACTCACGCATGCTTGCTGGAAGTCAAAACCCCTCACACACAAAACCTCCTTTACCCCCTTCCCTCCAACCTTTCCTAGGCTGACCTCTATCCCTCCACTCAGATACACTCTTGAAATCATTCTATTTTGTTCCATCCTCTCTACATGTCTGAACCACCTCAACAACCCCTCCTCGGTTCTCTGGATAACAGTTTTGGGAATCCTGACAATCCTCCTAATTTCCAAACTATGAATTCTCTACATTATATTCACACCACACATTGCCCTCAGACACGACATCTCCACTGCCTCCTGCCTTCTCCTTGTTGCAACATTCACCATCCATGCTTTGCACTCATATAAGAGCATTGGTATAACTATACTCTCATACATTCCCTTCTTTGCTGCAATGGACAAAGTTCTTTGTCTCCACAGACTCCTTAATACACCACTCACCTTTTTCCTCTCATCAATTCTATGATTCAGTTGTGTTGTCTAATTATGAGTTTCTTTATTAAAGGAATTGGTCCTACCCTCTCCTTCCCTGGATCAAGCCTTGTTGTCTCAGAATCCTCCAGGTACTGGGGTTTAGTGCTTCCCCTTGAACATAATATTAATAATAATCTAAATGAAAGAAATAAATACTGCGGTATATTTCCCAGTAAAAGTAGGCCTTAGACAAGAATGTGTGATGTCACTGTGGTTGTTTAATATATTTATAGATGGGGTTGTCAGAGAAGTAAATGCGAGGGTCTTGGCAAGAGACGTGGAGTTAAAAGATAAAGAATCACACAAACTGGGAGTTGTCACAGTTGCTCTTTGCTGATGACACTGTGCTCCTGGGAGATTCTGAAGAGAAGTTGCAGAGGTTGGTGGATGAATTTGGTAGGGTATGTAAAAGAAGAAAATTAAAAGTGAATACAGGAAAGAATAAGGTTATGAGGATAACAAAAAGAATAGGTGATGAAAGATTGGATATCAGATTGGAGAGAGAGAGAGTATGGAGGAGGTGAATGTATTCAGATATATGGGAGTGGACCTGTCAGCGGATGGGTCTATGAAAGATGAGGTGAATCACAGAATTGATGAGAGGAAAAGGGTGAGCAGTGCACTTAGGAGTCTGTGGAGACAAAGAACTTTGTCCTTGGAGGCAAAGAGGGGAATGTATGAGAGTATAGTTTTACCAATGCTCTTATATGGGTGTGAAGCATGGGTGATGAATGCTGCAGCGAGAGAAGGCTGGAGGCAGTGGAGATGTCATGTCTGAGGGCAATGTGTGGTGTGAATATAATGCAGAGAATTCGTAGTTTGGAAGTTAGGAGGAGGTGCGGGATTGCCAAAACTGTTGTCCAGAGGGCTGAGGAAGGGTTGTTGAGGTGGTTCGGACATGTAGAGAGAATGGAGTGAACCAGAATGACTTCAAGAGTGTATCAGTCTGTAGTGGAAGGAAGGCGGGGTAGGGGTCGGCCTAGGAAAGGTTGGAGGGAGGGGGTAAAGGGGGTTTTGTGTGCGAGGGGCTTGGACTTCCAGCGGGCATGCGTGAGCGTGTTTGATAGGAGTGAATGAAGACAAATGGTTTTTAATACTTGACGTGCTGTTGGAGTGTGAGCAAAGTAACATTTATGAAGGGATTCAGGGAAACCGGCAGGCCGGACTTGAGTCCTGGAGATGGGAAGTACAGTGCCTGCACTCTGAAGGAGGGGTGTTAATGTTGCAGTTTAAAAACTGTAGTGTAAAGCACCCTTCTGGCAAGACAGTGATGGAGTGAATGATGGCGAAAGTTTTTCTTTTTTGGGCCACCCTGCCTTGGTGGGAATCGGCCAGTGTGTTAATAAATTAAATAAATTTCCCTATATGTATTCTCCATGGAGAAGTGGAACAGAATTCTTCCTCCGTAAGCCATGCGTGTTGTAAGAGGCGACTAAAATGCTGGGAGCAAGGGGGCTAGTAACCCCTTCTCCCGTATAAAGTACTAAATTTAAAAAGAGAAACTTTCGTTTTTCTTTTTGGGCTACCCTGCCTTGGTGGGATACGGCCGGTTGGTTGAAAAAAAAAAAATCCCTATATCTGCTTATTACAATATACAAAAAGTTTTAGCAGCATACCTCAGATCAGTGCAGCTTTTCATATTGCTCCAGGAATAAAGACATGCAGAAATCATATCCACTCCAAAAGTGACCACTTCCAGCTGAGTAGTCTTGCAGCCTCCACTTTCATCTGTAAACCATTATATAATACAGGCATAATGCTGGTATGCTAACAAAGCTGCAAATATCCTAAACAAAGCTTTTTTTCTTGGACAATGCATCACTTACTAGAGGGTTTTACAGCACTTCTGAAATGGGAGGCAATCAGGTTCAATCCAAAGAAATGGAGGACAGACCCAATTGCCTGGATGCTCCTCACCATCAAAGCACCTCATATGAGGAAAGTGCTTTGATACTGGTGAGGAGGGAGATGAGGGGAGGGGGGAGACTTGGCCTGTTTATACATGAAGAAGCAAGGGCAAAGGAAGATATAGACCTGGTAAGACACGAGATAGGGAAAACTGACACGAGAGAGGGAGGAGGGAGGCTATACACTGTGCTAGTAAGATATGAGATAGGAAGACTATATATCTAGTAAGATATGACAAATACACTGTGCTAGTAAGATATGAGATAGGAAGACTATATATCTAGTAAGATATGACAAAGACAGGGAAGACGGAGACTAATATACCTAGTAAGACATGATAGATAGAGAGAGAGACTATCTAGCTGATTATGCATGAGATAGTGAGGAGGAAGATTATATAATTAGCAAAGCAAGAGGAAAGGACTTTTTCCTGGTGGAGCATAAGCCAGAGACAGAAAAAGGGAAGAAACAACACTTAGTAATATAATAAGAAATAGCAGTGGTTAACCCATCTTCCTAATAAATACAGTATGTTACAGTTTCACATAGGCTTTGCAGCCCATTTCTAAGTCTATGTTAGGTTACAAGGGGAAAAACTATAAATATAAGATGATAAAAGACAGCAAAAAAAAAAAAAATCTGCTACTCGGATAGTAAACAGACACCCACTGTGCACAGCTTGTGTAAAACAGTCACGTTTCAACTGTTCTAGGCTCCGTCAACAGACACCTATTTGACTGTTTTTACAACAATGCCATGATGTCTGTAGCTATGAAAATAGGCTGCAGTAGTAGTATTCTTGACAAGTTACTTACCTGGCTGCCACATATAGAGTCCTGTTGAATTGTCTGCTTCTATGAAGAGGAAGTTCTTTGACGTAGTATTGTCATCGTATGTGCTCACGTTATATCTGAAAGCAAGCAATTTTTTTAGTCTAAAAAGTACTACATAATTTTAAAATTTTGATAAATATACATTTCTTAGTGATTTAGATTAATATGAGTATTTCTTAACGATCTTGATCAAAATGAAGATTATTTAATGATTACTTAAAGGTATGTGATTATCATCTGAAAATGAAAAAAATCCATAAATACAATGAATACATATTCAATTTAGTAATATGACAAAGACTCAAGATTTACTGCATAACAATACTCTGACATTCTTAATACTAACACTAGCCTTATAATCTAAGTGCTAAGAAAAATGTTTCTATCTAACAGCTGAAGGAAACTTAATAAAAATGCTTTTAATAAGTCCTCTAGATAATTTCAAACCATGGACAGAAAAATTATTAGAAAGGTTAGTGACATACAGTATTAGTGTAAAGAAATGAATGAAGTAAAAAGGATTATGTAATATAACTTTTTTGATATTAATAATGTGGAAAATTGGAGAAATGGAGTACAAAGAAAAAAGTTAGGAGATTCCTAGCAGGTAGGAGACTACTACAGTATTTTATTCGGATTATTTACCTTGAGGGTTAGTAACCCAGGTTAACCTAAGAAAAACCAATGAATGTTGTTTATTTCTACTAGGATACCCTAGTTCTCTCCCAAAGATGCAACCTACAAAAGCTGCCTAACATGCAGGTACCTTTTTCTTGGTATATTAACAAGGGCAACAGGTGTCAAGAAACATGTTAAGTACAAGGATACAAATGCAACTAATGTGATATTTTATTGTGGAAATGTTTCGCTCTCCAGGAGCTTTGTCAAGCTATCCTAAGATCAAACCCGGGGTCCTCAGGGTAAGCTTATGATATGGGAAGCAGTCCAAGTTTTTTTCACTGGTTTAAGATATTGTAAAAAATCTGATATACAGAGGAAAATTAGTGAAAACTAAAAACTACATAAATGAAAATTGCCAAAAAACTATCTTAAGAGCTAGATAAGCACTGAAAATAATAAACATGAATACAGTGGTACCTCGACTTACAAGTTTAATTCATTCCGTGACCTAGCTCGTAACTCAATTTGCTTGTACAGTGGAACCTCAAATTTCGAATGTATCAGTTATCGAACTCTTTGAAAATAAACGCTTTTTTTAACCAACTTTGTCCCTATTATCGAACTCGCCCCTATTTTCGAACCAACAGGTACTGGACCTGTCCGGCAGCCCACTCTGTCCGTATCCCCACGCAGGCGCCGTGAGCCAGTCTGGTTTTGTTGGTGCTTGAGTGAACACTAACCTGCGCTCTCACTCAAACATTTTACGATTATTTCATTGTGTTTAGTGTTTGTGGGACTGTGAAATAAGCTACAATGGGCCCAAAGAAACTTGTTAGTGGTACCCCTGCAGTAAAGAAAGTGAGAAACACCATAGATGTCAAAAAGGAAATAATACAGAAGTGGAATGATGTCCAAGTGGAATGATGTCCAAATGTTTGTGAAGTACCACCCTGAGCAAGCTGAAACAAGCCATCTTTGCAACAAGTTTGGTGACAGAACCATGTCCATTTTAGGGAAATCTTAAAGAGGCACCAGAAACAGAGGACTGTGGAGAGTTATTTTGTGAGACAGGGGTCCAGTGACTCAAGCTGGTCCTAGTGGCATTAAAAGACAGAAGGGAAGTAACCCCAGAGAGGACTTTGATACCTGAAGTCCTCATGGAGGAGGATTCTCCATCCAAACACTAACCCCAACTCCCTCTCTCCTCCTCCCTATCTTCCAGATGCCATCACCAATCTTCAATAAAGGTAAGTAAAATGTTATTTTATATGTTTATTTAAATTTGTTAATACATAATTGAACACTATATTTGTTGTGTGTATGTAAAACTGTAATTAATCTCTATAAAATGTATTTTTTTGTGTGTGAATATTTTTGGGTTTCTGGAACGGATTAATTGTATTTCCATTATTTTTTATGGGTAATATTGCTTTGCTTTTCAGACTTTTTGAATTTAGAACAAGCTCCTGGAATGGATTAAGTTCAATATTTGAGGTTCCACTGTATGTCAAATCAATTTTCCTCAATGAAATTAACTGAAATGCCATTAATCCATTCCAACCCCCCAAAAAAAAACACCCAATTTTTTTTGTTACAGGTTTTTAAATAAGAAAAATGTATTTATAAATAGGAAATATTACATACTCCACCTACCACCTTCAATACTCCACCCACCATTATCACTATTCCACTGACCACCATGACTACTCCACCCACCACTATCAGTACTCCACCCACATTAATTAATGTGTCTGGAAAAACTCCGAGTGTTGAAATGGAGGTGTTACGGTCCCCTGCCAAACTAGCGGTTAAATAGTTAACCTGCCGGCCGGCAGTACCACTGGGTACATCATCAAACCCATTGTGGGGACTGCTGAGCCAGCCTTAGCAGCAGTAAGTACCTGAACACCTCACGGTACGCATCTAAGCAGTAACTACCAGAACACCTTACGGTAGACATCCACTGGCAGTAGAGTATTCGTCTGACCGTCTTATTATATGTATCTACTGGCGTTAGAGGACGCGCTCACCGCAGCTCACCGAGTCTGTTGGCCTCAGTTACTTGACAGCCGCATTCAATGAGCTTGCAGCATGGTGTTCTGCAAACTGTATTTGCCAACTGGTCTTGAAGGCGGTAGATAGTACTCACCAGACCATCTTACGGCGTACTTCTACCGGCCTTGGAGAGTATTTACAGGACAGGTGATGTCTGCGGACTCACCGCCTACGCTGGTCAACTGTGGGCCGAGTCAACTAATGCTGTTTAGTGGGACACTACGTGAAGAAAAGGTTGGAGTGTGACACTGAACTGGGTTAGGACCGTAGTGTGACACTTAAGCAAGTATGATGGAGTGTAACACTGAGATATGCTATAGGACCGTAGTGGAACACTGAGAAGAAAAGGGTGTCGTGTGACACTAAAGAAGATATGGTTGTAGTGTACATTGAATAGTGTCATGTGACTGGCCTCGAGAAAGACGCTGTGTGAGTGTGTCGCAGGGTGTCAAGGGTGACACAGTAGTGTATGATGCAGAGAAAAGGGTGTTGTGTGACACGGAGAGTAGGAGCGTCATTACGCAGAGAAAAGGGTGTCAAGGGACACAGTGAGATGGAGTTTCATTACACGGATAAGTGTCGTGTGAGACACAGGGAGCGTCACAACTCGGATAAGTGTCGTGTGAGAGACACGGAGCGTCATAAGTAGTTGATTGTAATTTATTGTTGTACAAATGTTATTTATAATTTATTATTTTAGCATAGATATATATATGACACAGTAGTGTCTATGAAAGTTGTACCCTGTGTGTAGGGTCATTAATTAATTATTATTTTAAAATGCTAATTACAGTGGACCCCCGGTATTCGATGGCATCAGTATTCGATAAATCCGGTATTCGATGCATTATATCGCAAAAAATTTTCCTCGGTATTTGATACGATTCGTACGAGACCTGTCCACATGTGGCCTGAACTGCCCCTTGTGTGCCAGTCTTTACAAGCCAGCCAGTGTGCACGCATCTAAGGATACATTCGGTACATTCCATATTATCCATATTATCACTGTGTTTGGTGCATTTTTTCTGCAAAATAAGCCACCATGGGCCCCAAGAAAGCTTCTAGTGCCAACCCTGTGGTAAAAAGGGTGAGAATTAGTATGGAAATTAAGAAAGATTTTGAAGGGTTTGGGGCTAACCCTGAGAAGCCTATACCAGTTGTGGAATCCATTGTGCCTACTTCAAAAATTAAGGAAATGTGTGCACAGTGGGTTGAAGTGCAAACCTTTATGGATGAAAATCACCCTAACACAGCTATTACAATGACAATGTTGTGGCCCATTTTAGACAAATCGTAAAGGAACGGGAGGTACAGAGCTCTATGGACAGATTTGTTGTGCGACAGAGGTCCAGTGACTCTCAAGCTGGTCCTAGTGGCATTAAAAGAAGAAGGGAAGTAACCCTGGAAAAGGACTTGTTACCTCAAGTCCTAATGGAAGGGGATTCCCCTTCTAAACACTAACACCTCTCCCCTCCTTCCATCCCATCAATCATCACCAGATCTTCATTAAAGGTAAGTGTCAATTATTTTATTGTTATTGTAATTATTCTATTGCACTAAACTTAATATTTCATGTAGTAAAATTTTTTTTTTCATAATTTTGGGTGTCTTGCATGAATTAATTTGATTTTCATTATTTCTTATGAGGAAAATTGATTCGGTTTTCGATATTATCGGTATTCGATGAGTTCTCAGGAACGGATTAATATCAAATACTGGGGGTCCACTGTATAATTTATTATTGTAACATGCATATGTGTACAAAATACCTCTAGGCCAAAGATAGTTGTTTTCATATAATATTAAAGATTAATTTATTTTAACGTGTATTTATGTATCCCGAACTCTTTATTACAAAATGAGTAAACTACCATCTTAAAAATCACTTTTTTTGTAATAGGAGGTTACCTCTTCCCCGGATTTATATGAGAATCAAACAAGGGATGAGGTGCCTCACTACAATATGGGATTAGTGTGCGAGTATTATCCTTCCAGTTATGTCTTGGAAGAGCATGTGGGATGGGACCAAGTATCTGACATTCCTCTGGGCACAGAGTTGGATTTAACTTCATATGCACCGCCAATTAGTGGCGGCATATCCGAAGGTCGCTAGCAACTTGGATTTTGGCTTGCAAATCAAAGCAAAAAATTGACCGAGCAATTGCTCGCAACTCGGAAAACTCGTAAGTTGGGGCACTCGTAAGTCAAGGTACCACTGCACAAACAAAAAGTGTCATATTAGTGAAGAGCTCTAAAGTGAGTACAATATTAATGGTGCACTAAAGAGATTGCTGCATTTGCAAAACACTCCAAAAAGAGCACTGTATTAATGAGGTATGCTTGTATCAGCAAATTTAGCTGGTAATTTTTTGATAGGATTTATTCTTCCTAAATGTGGACACTCCTGCACTCACATTATTTGATACAAGACATTTCACTGTACAGACCAGAACTTTTCTTCTTTCTTTCTTTCTTTCAACGCACCGGCTGTATCCCACCGAGGTAGGGTGGCCCAAAAAGGAAAACAAAAGTTTCCCTTTTTAACTTTAGTAATGTATACAGGAGAAGGGAATTACTAACGCCTTGCTCCTGGCATTGTAGTCGCCTCTTACGACATGCATGGCTTACGGAGGAAGAATTCTGTTCCACTTGCCCATGGCGGTAAGAGGAAATAAACAAGAACAAGAACTAGTAAGAAAATAGACAACCAGAGGGGTGTGTATATATATCCTTATACATGCACATGTAGTGTGACCTAAGTGTAAGTAGAAGTAGCAAGACGTACCTGAAATTTGCATGTTTACGAGACAGAAAAAAGACACCAGCAATCCTACCATCATGTAAAACAATTACAGGTTTTCATTTTACACTAAAGCTTTTACGGTATAATTAAAATACTGTATATATACCACTCAATAATCCACAGAGAATAAACAAATAAAGACCTTGAAATAAAAATTAGATGTTTCAAAAATTACAGTACAGTACATGGATATAATGTATATAAAAGTAACACTTACACAACATAACCCCCTATGATAGGCTTGCCAACTTCATATCCAGGATTGCCAGATCTCTCAGATAAACTTGGCAAGTATTCAAATTCTTCAGTGATATTCATTTCACTTTCATCAGATTTAAAAGGTAATTCTGCTGTGTCATTTAAAGTGTGTGATGATCCCATATGATGGAAACTTGTTGTAAAGTGTTGCAGGAGAGAGAGTTTAGAGCTTGCAGATGGAGCCATGAATTTTCTTGTTGTGTTACGTACAATTTTGTTTTTCATCACTGTATTTTCATCTAATAATGACTCTCTCTGAAATTCACTAAAATATTTTAAATGCAGACCCTCAAATGAAACTGGCACAGTTCCAATCATAATTTTAGCATTAACTTCAGAAATGGATGGTCCTCTCCACCCTATATTGTATTCCACACTAAGAACAACATTTTCGCACATCTGAGAAGTTTCATTGTAAAATGGTATATCATTTTCATTACATTCTTCTGACTCATATTCTTTTTTTTTCCCAACCTGAGAAGGAAATCCTTGTGCAAAAATACTGAAGCCCTGTAGTTTAATGAATTTGTATGTATCTTGCAGGCATGTGTATTCCACGGAGACATTAATTATCTGTAAATTAGTAAGATTCCCAATGACCTGTGGAAAACCTTCATAAGGATCTCTGACAATTCCATTAGCTTTCTGAAGGTACGTAGCTGCACTTAAACGTGACTCTGATGTACATACCTCTGATGACAAAGCCAGAGAACATTCATAGCTAAAATCTTCAAGAAAATGAATAGGGATTATATTCACACACAAACCATTTAGAATTTGCTGTGGCAGTGACAAAATGCTTCTAACTACTGAATTGTTTGTCAGTATTACCGTTTCCACATGAGATCCAAATACGTAATATGGATCCTGTTGTTGATCCTGAGTACGAGTAGTAGTATCTTCATAGCTATATGTGTGGCTCTTAAGCCGTGAAAGGTATTTCTTAAAGTCATGAAGTGAAGGTTCAGGTTTGTAAAAGAGTCCCAGATAAGGATTATTCTCAGTTATAAAGCATAAGAAATCATGCCATTCTGGTGAGTAAGGTTTTTCATATTTACAATTGTTATCCACAATCTTATCTGTTGACTGACCTCCATCCAAACCTTGCAGGCACGAGAAAGACGTTTTGTCAAATGAAGAGCAGTCCTGAAAAAATGAAAGATAGTCTTTAGTTTTCCAGGTAAAACAAAAGCTTACATAAACCTATTCTGTTCAAAGTGAAACAGGATATAAACCATGGGTTCATATATGAACTTCGACAATAAGTACAGGGTTACTCCTCTACAAATCTGGCATCCCAAATCTCTTCTAATGCATAATAATAATAAAAATGCTTAATTATTAAGAAATCACATGAAGTGGTTATTCTATTATAAATATTTCTTGTAGGTTGGCACAAAAAAAAAAAAAAAACAGGAAATAAAAGCTTTTTTCTAATCAAGTAGCAATTTGCAATCAATGTACTAAGAGATTCTCTGGTAGTGGTACATGAAAGAGGATAAATGTCTCATAACACAGGCCTTTATCAGTTGATGAAATCTACAGAGAATTACTACAGTAGTATCTTAAGTACAGACTGTCAGTAGAACTAGCTATTTTCATACTGAACTTATCCTTCAGAGTAGTATTTCTTAGTCCTCTTAACTTTTGCCTCTACTTGCTTCATGTATTAAAGTTTTAGTGATCTGAACTGCACTAAACACATTACATGATAATTAATACAACACTGAGAAATCAAGCACTGCTACAAAGTCTTCCATGTCTAAAAATATGATGTTTATCAGCTAGCATTTTGGAATATTGCTATATGCAATAACATTCATGAAAGTTTTAAAAATATAAATTTCAGTGTCTATCACTTTGGTTCACAAAAATTTAATATAAAAATATAGGAAAATATGAGATTACCAAAATACTGTATATGAACTTCTTACTAACATATCATTATGAAATTTCTATCTGTGTACTGTCTACAGAAAATACCACTGCACTATAGACTATGTGGCACCCTACACTAAGTATGGTTGCTGCTTTTCGTACGTATGTCAAATCAGTTGTAATGAAAAACATTTGGGATTCAGCAAATTCAGCTTAGACATTTCAGCACATTACTTTGATTTAAAAAGGCTTATGAATTTTATAGTGCTCAGAAATTTAGTGAAGAGGAAATGTAGCCAGAGAGAAAATAGAGTAAACCATTAAACAGGACAAGTATTAACGTAGCCCAAGAACAGAACCAATTAATAAGGGAAAAATTAATACTGTACCTCATTTGTTGTTTTTAAGGTTGTGATAACTCAGTCATGTATTATCATTAAATTTATGGAGAGAAGGGAAAGAATGCTAAACCCATAAGGGTCATATAGCACTTGGAGGAATAAGGCAATCAGATATGAAGGGAAGATTTGAGCTAATTTCTTGGATAAAGGGCCTATCAGTGGCAACAAAGAACTTCCATGGGAGGGTTGAGGAGCCATACAGACCACTGGAACTTTGGAGCCAAATGCTTGCTGAAGTATCAAAGCTTTCCCAACTGGCCACTTGAGTGAAGAAATTTAAACTTATGATCCAGGATTATGACAGTCATCCAGGATAAAACCTCTCAACATCATGAAGAGAGGGAGACAATGTCAAGACCCAAAGAGGAGACAAGCATGAAACAGGGGTACCTGAGACAAATAAAAATGAAGACAGTGAAACAAAAAACACTTATCTGCTTTGAGTTAGTAACTGTGTGGGTTACTATGATCAAGAATTTTTATACTCAATCTTTACACACTTTCTTCCCCTAAGACCATTGTACATTTGATCATGCCACAGTGTTAAACAACATTAAAAGATCTAGCTTCAGTTCTTATAAACTTAACTTTTTAATTTTTACTAGCTGGTATGACTGGTATAAATGTTTAAGAATCGCATCAATAACAGATCACATGAGGTGGACATTACTACCTTATCACAGCAACAATTGGGATTACAGAAGTTTGAAGTCAAGTCACAGGGACAAGGAGCAAGGGGCTTCATTGCTGGGTCTTCCAAATGAGATTCAGCTGCTGAGCCTTTAGTTCCTGCTTCAGTCCAGTTGACTGTAAGATGCTCTCCATGTACTGAAATATAACATGTGTTGAAATTTACAATACAATACAGGTACTTCTGTACAGCTATAGTATATTAGATTGCAGTATACTGCCAAATTAAGTCTGGACCAGTAACAGCATAAATAAATTCAAAGCTAAAAATATTTTTTTTTATTTTAATCAGGGGTGAGTGCTAAATCAGTAAGGATCATATAGCTCCTGGGGAATGGGAAGCATTCAGGTTTGATCCAGCAAAGTCCAGCTCCTTTGATAAGGGCCTCCTCACTGGCATCAAGGTACCTCCCTTGAGGGCAAGGCTAAAGCTAAGGAGCAAATAATTAACAGAGTTGCAGGAAGGATGTAAGTGACAATTTTTTTAACAAAACTCCAATAGTAGCCAATATGTAAGAAGAAACTATCCTTGATTTGACTTAAGCACAGTATATTCACTGTCATATAAGAACATAAGTAAGAAGGAACACTGCAGCAGGCCTATGGCCCATGTGAGGCAGGTCCAAGTCTCCTACTGGCTTAAGCCAATGCCCCAACCTAGTCAGGTCAGGTCACATTCACTTAAGGAAGGAACATGGCAACTGACCTAGTAGCACAAGCTAATCAGGTCCAACTCACACCCACCCACACCCACTCATGTATTTATCAAACCTATTTTTAAAACTACACAACGTTTTAGCCTTAACTGTACTTGGGAGTTTGTTCCACTCATCCACAACCCTATTACCAAACCAGTACTTTCCTATATCCTTCCGGAATCTGAATTTTTCCAACTTATACCCATTGCTACGAGTTCTGTCTAGGCTAGGTATTTTCAGCACATTACTTACATCCCCTTTATTTAATCGTGTCTTCCCTTTATACACCTCAATCATATTCCCCCTGATTCTATGCCTTTCTAGAGAGTGCAGATTCAGGGCCCTCAGTCTATCCTCATAGGGAAGATTTCTGATACATGGGATCAACTTTGTCATCCTCCTTTGTATGTTTTCTTGAGCATTTATATCCATTCTGTAATACGGTGACCAAAACTGTGCAGTATAATCTAAATGAGGTCTAACCAAGGATATATAGAGTTGAAGAACAACCTGAGGACTACTATTATTTATGCTTCTTGATATGAAGCCAAGGATTCTGTTAGCTTTATTGCAACACTTATGCACTGTTGTCTTGGTTTCAGATTACTGCTAACCAGAACTCCTAAATCTTTTTCACAATCTGTAATATTAAGATCTACATTATTTAGTTTATATGTGGCATGGTTATTTTCCTGTCCAACATTTAGAACTTTGCATTTGTCCATATTAAACTGCATCTGCCACTTCTCCGACCACTGCATCAGTCTATTCAAATCTTCCTGAAGTTCTCTAATGTCCTCGTCAGAATGAATTCGACGGCCTATTTTGGTGTCGTCGGCAAACTTGCTTATGTCGCTCTTCATGCCCTCATCAATGTCGTTTATGTAGATTGCGAACAACAGGGAGCCCAACACTGGCCCCTGTGGAACACCACTCGTGATGCTTCCCCCCACTGATTTCTCCCCATTTATACAAACTATCTGCTGCCTATTAGTCAACCATGCCTCTATCCAGGAAAAAATTTCTCCTCCTATTCCATATGCCTTAATTTTCCTCAATAGTCTCTGATGTGGGACCCTGTCAAAAGCCTTACTGAAGCCCATATACACAATATATTCATTACCATGATATACAAAGATATTACTAGACTTTGTATTTAAAAGACCCTTCAAGGGTGGTTTCTTGATGCTGGCAAAGTGATCTTAAACCAAGGAATTGAAGTTAACCTCCCCTTCCTGGATCATACCTGATTAGCTCCTATTTCCCACTTTCCATTGTACTTCAAAATGAATACATTACCAATAATAATAGAAAGCAAAATATTTATAATATTTAGAACTAACTTTTTTGTAAATATCATGTTTGTTATAAATATAATAAAGTGATACTTTGTGATTTGACCTGTATGTCACTAAAATTTTCCAAAAGGATGTAGCGTACTGTACATCACACAGTATATATAATTTACATTGTAACTATAAGCAATTTATATATATAATGTTTTATAATGAATGTATAGTAATTTTAGCTTTTTCTTTAGTTTTATATTACATAAAATGTAATTAATTACCAAACACAAATACAAACACACACACACATGGGAAATGAATGCCTAAATAAGATACAAAACATAAAAATTTTTTATTCTCATTATTAACAAGTGGGAAAGTAACCCAGGATGACCCAATAAACCCAGTCATGAGATCATCTGCTCGTCATACAAGAAAGTTGATCTGTCTTCTGTTTCCATTGATCAAATCAGATTTAAGATAAGATTTTGTTCGGATTTTTAGACTGGAGTTTTAGCCACTCGGGATAACTGATGAAAGTGTTTCACTGAAGACTGTCTATCTTATTTCCACTGTGATCCTTCACTCTAGTTCCCCCAAGATGCAACCCACACCAGTTAACTAACACCCAGGTACCTACCTACTTGCTAGGTGAAGTGACAGCAGGTGTTTCCACCTGGCCGGGGACTGAACCACAGACACTCAAGTGTTTGTGGCGAGTGTTGGATAAGTATAAGTTTATTCAAGTACATGTACACAAATACAGTTAACAAATTATCATACATAGCAGCATCTGATCCACCAGGAGGCCTGGTCACAGACCGGGCCGCGGGGGCGTTAACCCCCGGAACTCTCTCCAGGTAAACTCCAGGTAAATATGTATATATTACCTAGGATAACCCAAAACAGTCAGACAAAGTGACTAATTTCCACTGGGGTCCTTGTACCGTATTCCCATTTAGGGCTAAGTAGTAATTCCTTCAGTTAGCAATAAGTAGTTAAGTAAATTTATTCAGGTATACACAAATACAGTTACACAGATTATCATACATAACAGCATATGTGTACAGAACCTGGGATACCTGGGGTTTACCTGGAGAGAGTTCTGGGGGTCAACGCCCCCGTGGCCCAGTCTGTGACCAGGCCTCCTGATGGATCAGAGCCTGATCAACCAGACTGTTACTGCTGGCTGCAGCAATCCAACATACGAGCCACAGCCCGGTTGGTCAGGTACCGACTTTAGGTGCTTGTCCAGTGCCAGCTTGAAGACTGCCAGGGGTCTGTTGGTAATCCCCCTTACGTATGCTGGTAGGCAGTTGAACAGTCTCGGGCCCCTGACACTTATTGTATTGTCTCTTAACGTGCTAGTGACACTCCTGCTTTTCATTGGGGGGATGCTGCATCATTTCCATTGGGGTCCTGTCAATGGTCCCGGGTTTAATCTTGGGCGGGTGGATCATTATTACATTCATGGGGAGAGCACTAAACCTGTAAGGGGTCATACAACATCTGGGTAATGGGGCGAGGGCATTCAGGTTAGGTCTAAGGGATGATCCTTGGATCAAGAGAACAGTACGTGAGATTACTTACCAATAAATAAGATATTACAACACAACACAGCTTGGTAAAATAACACAACCATTGTGTTGTCTCCTGGTACTTCGCTCGTTTATAAAACTGTCAGCTTAGCTCAGCTCAGCTGTACAGCAGGAATCAGAAGAGCTTAATTTAACTTGGCACAAGTCAGCTTCACAGCTGGAGAGCTGAGATTTCAGCTTAGCTTGGATTAGCATGACAGCTTCACAACAGAGAATTCTTATAGCTGAGTTTAGCTTGACTCAGCTCAGCTTCACAGCCCTGAAGAGTAGTTAAGCAAATAAGTTTATTTAAGTACATGTACACATAAATATTTACACAAATTATCATACATAGTAACATATGTGTAAATTACCTAAGGTAACCCCCCCCAAAAAAAAAAAATAAGTGACTTATTTCCATTGTGGTTCTTGGCCATCAAATATTATGACTGATCAATTATTATGACTTATTCACTGAGCGTATTTTTTATATAAAAACTGTTAATTATATCTAAATAATATGCAGTAAAAAATAGCCTATGAATTACTTCAAAAATAATCAGGATAATTTAGGTAAATCAAATGATAAAATTACGTTGTGTATAAAATCTTTTGTAAATTTAAAATCTAAATTCCATTACTTCAAAATAACTCTTATGTTTTTTTTAATATTTAAGTTTCATACAAACAATATAATTTACAAAACTGATATAAGAAAAGAAAAATGTAGTTAGTCATCTCACACTAGATTCCCACAATTTTAAGCTTAAGCTTATCCATGTCTTGTCATGTAAAAAAAATGTACCTACTAGACTAACTCAAATTAATTTTTCGAGTTCTTGTACTGAACTGAACTCCAGTTCCTGAATTGAATGTCAGATGACAGCAAGGAAATGAGTGAGCTACTCAAGTCCCAATATGACTCAGTTTTTAGCAAGCCGCCAACCAGACAGAGTCGAAGATCAAAATGATTTTTTTATGAGAGAGCCACTGAATTTGGTTAACACAAGCCTATCCGATGTTATCCTGACGCCAAATGACTTCGAACAGGCGATAAATGACATGCCCATGCACTCTGCCCCAGGGCCAGACTCATGGAACTCTGTGTTCATCAAGAACTGCAAGAAGCCCCTATCACGAGCCTTTTCCATCCTATGGAGAGGGAGCATGGACACGGGGGTCGTCCCACAGTTACTAAAAACAACAGACATAGCCCCACTCCACAAAGGGGCAGTAAAGCAACAGCAAAGAACTACAGACCAATAGCACTAACATCCCATATCATAAAAATCTTTGAAAGGGTCCTAAGAAGCAAGATCACCACCCATCTAGAAACCCATCAATTACACAACCCAGGGCAACATGGGTTTAGAACATGTCGCTCCTTTCTGTCTCAACTATTGGATCACTATGACAAGGTCCTAGATGCACTAGAAGACAAAAAGAATGCAGATGTAATATATACCGACTTTGCAAAAGCCTTCGACAAGTGTGACCATGGCGTAATAGCGCACAAAATGCTCGCTAAAGGAATAACAGGAAAAGTCGGTCGATGGATCTATAATTTCCTCACTAACAGAACACAGAGTAGTCGTCAACAGAGTAAAGTCCGAGGCAGCTACGGTGAAAAGCTCTGTTCCACAAGGCACAGTACTCGCTCCCATCTTGTTCCTTATCCTCATATCCGACATAGACAAGGATGTCAGCCACAGCACCGTGTCTTCCTTTGCAGATGACACCCAAATCTGCATGACAGTGTCTTCCATTGCAGACACTGCAAGGCTCCAGGCGGACATCAACCAAATCTTTCAGTGGGCTGCAGAAAACAATGTGAAGTTCAACGATGAGAAATTTCAATTACTCAGATATGGTAAACACGAGAAAATTAAATCTTCATCAGAGTACAAAACAAATTCTGGCCACAAAATAGAGCGAAACACCAACGTCAAAGACCTGGGAGTGATCATGTCGGAGGATCTCACCTTCAAGGACCATAACATTGTATCAATCGCATCTGCTAGAAAAATGACAGGATGGATAATGAGAACCTTCAAAACTAGGGAGGCCAAGCCCATGATGACACTCTTCAGGTCACTTGTTCTATCTAGGCTGGAATATTGCTGCACACTAACAGCACCTTTCAAGGCAGGTGAAATTGCTGACCTAGAAAATGTATAGAGAACTTTCACGGCACGCATAACAGAGATAAAACACCTCAATTACTGGGAGCGCTTGAGGTTCCTAAACCTGTATTCCCTGGAACGCAGGAGGGAGAGATACATGATTATATACACCTGGAAAATCCTAGAGGGACTAGTACCGAACTTGCACACGAAAATCACTCACTACGAAAGCAAAAGACTTGGCAGACGATGCACCATCCCCCCAATGAAAAGCAGGGGTGTCACTAGCACGTTAAGAGACCATACAATAAGTGTCAGGGGCCCGAGACTGTTCAACTGCCTCCCAGCATACATAAGGGGGATTACCAACAGACCCCTGGCAGTCTTCAACCTGGCACTGGACAAGCACCTAAAGTCGGTTCCTGACCAGCCGGGCTGTGGCTCGTACGTTGGTTTGCGTGCAGCCAGCAGTAACAGCCTGGTTGATCAGGCTCTGATCCACCAGGAGGCCTGGTCACAGACCGGGCCGCGGGGGCGTTGACCCCGAACTCTCTCCAGGTAAACTCCAGGTATAGTGTAAAAGACAGTACCTATATACTTATTAGACTATAACCCAAGTAATTACTTTTTATAATCACAAACAATGATACGCCCTATTAAGTCTTAAGTTTGGCTTAAGCTTGCCAGAAATGCTGTGCATAATAATGTACTTCCAGTATGTTCTCAAGTGTCACCCATTTCTTTTTTTTTTTTTTTATTCACCCTGGATGTTCCAGGGAGGGGACACTGAAAAAAGAGGTCACAATTGGAAGTTGAAGACAGATGAGTCAGAGACATACTAGGAAGTATTTCTTCAGTCATAAGTTGTCAGGCAGTGGAATAGCCTAGCAAGTGATGTAGTGGAGGCAGGAACCATACATAGCTTTAAGACGAGGTATGATAAAGCTCATGGAGCGGGGAGAGAGAGGACCTAGTACAACCGGTGAAGAGGCGGGGCCAGGAGCTAAGACTCGACCCCTGCAACCACAAATAGGTGAGTACAAATAGGTGAGTACCCAGGATGCCACCCACACCAGTCGACTAACACCCAGGATGCAACCCACACCAGTCGACTAACACCCTGGATGCAACGCACACCAGTCGTCTAACACCCAGGATGCAACCCATACCAGGCGACTAACAACCAGGATGCCACCCACACCAGTCGACTAACACCCAGGATGCAACCCACACCAGTCGACTAACACCCTGGATGCAACGCACACCAGTCGTCTAACACCCAGGATGCAACCCATACCAGGCGACTAACAACCAGGATGCCACCCACACCAGTCGACTAACACCCAGGATGCAACCCACACCAGTCGACTAACACCCTGGATGCAACGCACACCAGTCGTCTAACACTCAGGATGCAACCCATACCAGGCGACTAACAACCAGGATGCCACCCACACCAGTCGACTAACACCCAGGATGCAACCCACACCAGTCGACTAACACCCAGGATGCAACCCACAAAAGTCGACTAACACCCAGGATGCCACCCACATCAGTCCACTAACACCCAGGATGTGATCCACACCAGTCCACTAACACCCAGGATGCAACCCACACCAGTCCACTAACATCCAGGATGCAACCCACACCAGTTGACTAACACCCAGGATGTGACTCACACCAGTCAACTAACACCCAGAATGCGACCCACACCAGTCCAATAACACCCAGGATGTGACCCACACCAGACCACTAACACCCAGGATGCGACCCACACCGGTCCACTAACACGCAGGATGCCACGCACACCAGTCGACTAACACCCAGGATGCCACCCACACCAGTCCACTAACACTCAGGATGCCACCCACACCAGTCAACTAACACCCAGGATGCGACCCTCACCAGTCCAATAACACCCAGGATGTGACCCACACCAGACCACTAACACCCAGGATGCGACCCACACCGGTCCACTAACACCCAGGATGCGACCCACACCAGTCCACTAACACCCAGGATGCCACCCACACCAGACCACTAACACCCAGGATGCAACCCACACCAGACCACTAACACCCAGGATGCGACCCACACCAGACCACTAACACCCAGGATGCGACCCACACCAGTCCACTAACACCCAGGATGCCACCCACACCAGACCACTAACACCCAGGATGCCACCCACACCAGTCCTCTAACACCCAGGATGCCACCCACACCAGTCGACTAACACCCAAAGATGCCACCCACACCAGTCGACTAACACCCAAGATGCCACCCACACCAGTCCACTAACACCCAAGATGCCACCCACACCAGTCGACTAACACCCAAGATGCCACCCACACCAGTCCACTAACACCCAAGATGCCACCCACACCAGTCGACTAACACCCAAGATGCCACCCACACCAGTCCACTAACACCCAGGTACCTATTTTACTGATGAGTGAACATAGACAACAGGAGGAAAGAAACACACCAAATGTTTCTACCCTCGCTGGGAATCAAACCCAGACCTCGTCTTGCGAAGCGAGAGCTTTAGCCACCAGGTCACCACAGCCTATAATTCCATTTAGAAACATCGTATAATGATGATGATTATATCAGAGTGATGCCAGAAATTTCAGCTGTTTCTTTTTTTTTTTTTTTTTTGGTAAGAATAACTCAATTTTAGTATTTTTTTCGAATCCGAAATGTTAGGGGCCCCTTAACACTAAGAATTATATCATAGCAGCATATGCTCTGCTTATAAAGGAACTTTCGGCATGTACACCCATATGTCATTCTCCTTTGTACAAATATTATATCATGCTGAAATAAAATTATCATTATCATCAACAGACCCCAATGGAAATAATAATAATAATAATAATAATAATATAATATCTTTATATCTACAAGTACATGTACAAGGTATACAGGCGTAGCTGACATAAATGACATAAGTCACTTTGACTTTTATGGGTTATCCCAGGTTGTCTACATATATGCTGCTATGTATGATAATGTATATAACTGTATTTGTGTATACCTGAATAAATTTCATCAAATAAACTTGTGATGTAGCGAGGTGAGTGAGACAGTGAGGTCCAGGACTCCCGGGGGGAGACGCTCACTAAGGTTTTATAAATGGTTTGAAAACTCACAAGTTGAAGACTGAGACACTTTTGTAACATATGGGAATCTTTATTAAGGAAATGTTTAGCCACATAGTGGCTTCATCAGTCCAATACATAGTAGAGAGGGGTAAGGAGAGGAGGAGTTTGAGGTAATCAGTCCCTCACAAGACTGATGGACTGAACACATCGATTCCAGGCTAAGGGACTGATTACCTCAAACTCCTCCTCTCCTTACCCCTCTCTGGTGTGTATTGGACTGAAGAAACCACTGTGTGGCGAAATATTTCCTTAATAAAAATTCCCACACGCTGCATAAAAGTGTCAATAAGGTGTTGTTTGGTGACCCTAAACAATTCCTACAACAATATTAGTGGGTGATGGATTTTATTTTGCCACCGAAGTGGCTAGTTTATTGTGCACCTCATATCCAGCCTGTGGACGGTAGCACAAGAACATATGGATACACAAAAGGCCTAGGAACTAGGCCCCAAAAGGGTTAACAGGTGTACATATGTATTTATATCTACATATCTATAGTTCATTATGTTACAAGCAAATTTAGGAAATTTGCTTAGTATATCTGGTATCTTATTTTCATTAATAAGATATCTTGACATGTCACATAGGTTATTATACTGTCTGTCCCTGTATTCCTCAATAAGTGGACAATTAAGCACATAGTGTTCAAGAGAGTGATCATATGCCTGATCACATAATTTACATTTAGTTTGATCATCATCTGTGTGTCTCCCAAACTGCCAGAAGTACTTGTAACCAAGCCTAAGTCTGTCCACTACAACATCAGTCAGTACTTGTAACCAAGCCTAAGCCTGGCCACTACAACATCAGTCAGTACTTGTAACCAAGCCTAAGTCTGTCCACTACAACATCAGTCAGTACTTGTAACCAAGCCTAAGTCTGTCCACTACACATCAGTCAGTACTTGTAACCAAGCCTAAGCCTGGCCACTACAACATCAGTCAGTACTTGTAACCAAGCCTAAGCCTGGCCACTACAACATCAGTCAGTCTGTTCACATTGCAAGTTGTTCCATAAACATTTGTAACTTGTCATGATTGTGACCAGACCTACCTGGAGTTCATTACCTCTGTAACTTGCTCAGCTATCAAAACTTTGGAGTCCAGTCCCTGGACCAATTATGTACCTCTGTAATCTTTTGACTACCGCCCACAGGATGGGTATGGGGTGCATAATAAACATATTAAACTAAACTAACTCCATAAATATACTTATCTACGTTCATGTTATCATTGTGGGTTATAGATCTTCTCAGGCTTCTAACTGCATTCCTATAACAATTATTTTCATTATTTACTTCTCTCCTAATATTATTCCTAATGCTAGACACAGTATACCAAAGTTATATTCTACATTCTCCTTCTGGATACTCTTCTTGGCTAACATATCAACTTTATCATGAAGGAGTAATCCAATGTGTGATGGGATCCATAGCAATTGTACATTAATTCCTTTGTCCCTGATTTTTGAGTATCTATACCTGGCTTCTGAATAAACTTACTTACTTACTTACTTATTCTCCAATGAGCATATTGTTGGAGTCATTATATGAGTCAAGAGCCTTCAGTGATGACATAGAATCAGTAATGATGGTAGAGTCAAGCTCAGTGTCATAAGTTAGCTTTAGCGCCGTTAGGATTGCAAACAATTCAGTTTGCAATGTCGACGCCCAGTCGTCTAGTAGGTGATGTAGCAATCAAAAACGAAACAAAATTTATTTCTTTGCAAAGGTTACAGTGTGATTACACTTTATAATATGTTAGGTACAAAGAAAGCCACTATCATGCCGGGGCATTTTGGGCAGACTAATTTACTTAAGGCTAGACAGGTTTAAAGAGTGGTGAATTTTAATTATTCATTATTTTACCTAATTACTATTGTGAGGTAGCCAAAAAGTTTTATAGTTAATAAAATTTATAGTTGTGATGTAGCATATAACAAATAACAGTACAGTGGACCCCCGCTTAACGATCACCTCCAAATGCGACCAATTATGTAAGTGTATTTATTTAAGTGCATTTGTACGTGTATGTTTGGGGGTCTGAAATGGACTAATCTACTTCACAATATTCCTTATGGGAACAAATTCGGTCAGTACTGGCACCTGAACATACTTCTGGAATGAAAAAATATCGTTAACCGGGGGTCCACTGTATTATAAAGAGCAGATTATAACTACATTTATAACTACATTTCACATAGTTAAGATACTTAACTGTTTTTAACTTTTATAATACTTATCACAAGGACCCCAATGGAAATAAGTCACACTATCTGATTTTTTGGGGTTATCCTAGGTAATTTACACATGCTGCTATGTACGATAATTTATGTAATTATTTATGTGTACCTGTACTTGAATAAAAACTTCCTTACAATTTACATTGATGTAACAGCACAATTTTAAGTATGTATTAATATTTTAATAGAGGTCATAAAATATTTTGAGATTTTTTTTGAGTTGCTTCAAACTGGTCAAATGATTTAACATAGTGTTGATATGGTCAATTTTGGGAGATGAGATGATATTTAAGTATAGCCCTAAATTAATTTGCAGGCAGGGGACCTTTTGCTGGTTTGGCCAGTGAATTCTGGGTCTTTGGGCCCTTTATGTCAGGGTACAATATAATACATATTTTTATTTCTTTGCATAAACCAGTCAGCATTACACATTTTCCATTAGAAATTTTTGCAGAACTCAATCGAGCCTGGTAGCTAAAGCTCTCGCTTCACACAGCAAGGGTCCAGGTTCGATTCCCAGCAAAGGGTAGAAACACTGGGCGTGTTTCTTTACACCGGTGTCTATGTTCCCCATCAGTAAAATAGGTGCCTGGGTGTTAGTCGACTGGTATGGGTCGCATCCTAGGACAAAACTGACTTAATTTACCCGAAATGCTTTGCATAACAAGTGGCTTTCTATATACGTAGTAGTATGTCATTGATGTCAGCTAGGCCTGCATACCTTGTACATGTACTTATAGTAAATAAAGATATTATTATATTTTATTTTTTTCAGCAGTAACTGGTCAGTAGTTGATGACCACTGTCCTAGGAGTTCATAACTGAGGATAACACAAACAAGCCATGCAGTGTGGCTTATTTCTGTTCGGGTTCTTTAGTCCTTTTTTCTGTTATGCAGCACACAGTTGAAGTGTATAACTGATGACTACTGTTTGGCAGAACTTGGGCTTTAGTTAACATTTTACAATATCTTTAACTGTGTACAGTGTTGTATAATTAAGTACAGTGGACCCCTGGTTTACGATCACCTCCCAATGCGACCAATTATGTAAGTGTATTTATGTAGGTGCGTTTGTACGTGTATGTTTGGAGGTCTGAAATGGACTAATCTGATTCACAATATTCCTTATGGGAACAAATTCGTTCAGTACTGGCACCTGAACATACTTCTAGAATGAAATAATATCGTAAACCGGGGGTCCACTGTACAGTATTTTTTATACAAATTGATATTTTGGCAAATACATACAGTGGTACCCCGGGATACGAATTTAATTCGTTTCAGAAGGCTGTTCGAGTGCCGATACCGAACGAATTTGTTCCCATAAGGAATAATGTAAATTAGATTAATTTGTTTCAGACCCCCAAACATACACTTACAAAAGCATTTACATAAATACGCTTACATAATTGTTCGCGTTTTGAGCTGTTCGTATCCCGAGGTACCACTGTATTAGGAAAAATAATGTTTATTTTGACCATGCAGCAAGTCTGGGACAGTCACAGTAAGTAATGAATCTTTTCAAGTGTCTGGCCAGTTGTAAAAAAAGAGATGCCAGTTGAATATCTACCAGTGGCAGAGTAAGGTGAAGTTACATTAGGTTAGGTTAGCTTGGTTCTGTTAGGTTATAAGTAGTATTACATTTCTTCCCATTTGTACAACAAAACAATATCTCAAGTGTAGTGTAAAATCAGCAGTTTAAACTGCAATTAATCACCAACATCTGTTGAGATGCTGTCATCAATTATTATCCAGTCAACTAACATCCAGGGATCATTAATGGAATATACTAATACCAATAGGTTGAGGAATAAGAAACGTGTACAGCACTTCAGTATTTTTACAGCTGAAATATTTTGCCATTGGAGCAGGCTTCTTCACCTCTGTATTCAACAGAAGATGACACCTGCTGCATAGGTGAAACTTTTTAGCAGTAAAGATACCCAGGTGTTGCACTTGTCCTTACTAAACACTCAGGTACCTATTTAGTATTAGGTGAAGAGTGAAGAAGGGCAGCAGGTAGATTTGCCTTTGCATCTAATCTTACACTAATTTTTTAACTGCAACATTAACCCCCCTCCTCAGAGTGCAGGCACTGTACTTCCCATCCGGACTCAAGTCCGGCCCTCCCCGGTTTCCCCTGAACCCTTTCAAAAATGTTACTTGTCACACTCCAACAGCACGCAAGTATTAAAACCATTTGTCTCCATTCACTCCAAATCAAACACGCTCACGCATCCTGCTGGAAGTCCAAGCCCCTCGCACACAAAACCTCTTTACCCCTCCTCCAACCCTTCCTAGGCCGACCCCTACCCCGCCTTCCTTCCACTACAGACTGATACACTCTTGAAGTCATTCTGTTTCGCTCCATTCTCTCTACATGTCCGAACCACCTCAACAACCCTTCCTCAGCCCTCTGGACAACAGTTTTGGTAATCCCGCACCTCCTCCTAACTTCCAAACTACGAATTCTCTGCATTATATTCACACCACACATTGCCCTCAGACATGACATCTCCACTGCCTCCAGCCTTCTCCTCGCTGCAACATTCATCACCCACGCTTCACACCCATATAAGAGCGTTGGTAAAACTATACTCTCATACATTCCCTCTTTGCCTCCAAGGACAAAGTTCTTTGTCTCCACAGACTCCTAAGTGCACCACTCACTCTTTTTCCCTCATCAATTCTATGATTCACCTCATCTTTCATAGACCCATCCGCTGACACGTCCACTCCCAAATATCTGAATACGTTCACCTCCTCCATACTCTCTCCCTCCAATCTGATATTCAATCTTCATCACCTAATCTTTTTGTTATCCTCATAACCTTACTCTTTCCTGTATTCACCTTTAATTTTCTTCTTTTGCACACCCTACCAAATTCATCCACCAATCTCTGCAACTTCTCTTCAGAATCTCCCAAGAGCACAGTGTCATCGGCAAAGAGCAGCTGTGACAACTCCCACTTTGTGTGTGATTCTTTATCTTTTAACCTCCACGCCTCTTGCCAAGACCCTCGCATTTACTTCTCTTACAACCCCATCTATAAATATATTAAACAACCACGGTGACATCACACATCCTTGTCTAAGGCCTACTTTTACTGGGAAAAAATTTCCCTCTTTCCTACATACTCTAACTTGAGCCTCACTATCCTCGTTAAAAACTCTTCACTGCTTCAGTAACCTACCTCCTACACCATACACTTGCAACATCTGCCACATTGCCCCCTATCCACCCTGTCATACGCCTTTTCCAAATCCATAAATGCCACAAAGACCTCTTTAGCCTTATCTAAATACTGTTCACTTATATGTTTCACTGTAAACACCTGGTCCACACACCCCTACCTTTCCTAAAGCCTCCTTGTTCATCTGCTATCCTATTCTCCGTCTTACTCTTAATTCTTTCAATTATAACTCTACCATACACTTTACCAGGTACACTCAACAGACTTATCCCCCTATAATTTTTGCACTCTCTTTTATCCCCTTTGCCTTTATACAAAGGAACTATGCATGCTCTCTGCCAATCCCTAGGTACCTTACCCTCTTCCATTACATTTATTAAATAATTGCACCAACCACTCCAAAACTATATCCCCACCTGCTTTTAACATTTCTATCTTTATCCCATCAATCCGGCTGCCTTACCCCCTTTCATTTTACCTACTGCCTCACGAACTTCCCCCACACTCACAACTGGCTCTTCCTCACTCCTACAAGATGTTATTCCTCCTTGCCCTATACACGAAATCACAGCTTCCTATCTTCATCAACATTTAACAATTCCTCAAAATATTCCTTCCATCTTCCCAATACCTCTACCTCTTCATTTAATAACTCTCCTCTCCTATTTTTAACTGACAAATCCATTTGTTCTCTAGGCTTTCTTAACTTGTTAATCTCACTCCAAAACTTTTTCTTATTTTCAACAAAAAATTTTTTGATAACATCTCACCCACTCTCTCATTTGCTCTCTTTTTACATTGCTTCACCACTCTCTTAACTTCTCTCTTTTTCTCCATATACTCTTCCCTCCTTGCATCACTTCTACTTTGTAAAAACTTCTCATATGCTAACTTTTTCTCCCTTACTACTCTCTTTACATCATCATTCCACCAATCGCTCCTCTTCCCTCCTGCACCCACTTTCCTGTATACCTGTATATGTCAATTTATTTCCAACTAATATAATGTTCCATACAGGGATCAAGAACTTTCTCCATAAATATGAGACAAGGCATCATGAATTATCTTCAATGGCAGTTTAAATTTAGGAAACAAATTGTAGGAAGGATGTCTTCTTTTTTCCAAAGTTTACATACTTCCCAAAAACTGAGTGATAATGAGCAAGAACCAAAACTTAAACTTGATTATGAATACTTGTGTGACCGTAAAAATGCACTTTATATAGACAGATTAATTAAGAAAAGAAAAAATGTTGGAAATATCTGGAAATTGCTTGAAATCAACGATAAGTTGAATACCATAAGCTCCTCGACACAAGAACATGAAGCTTTAAAAAAACAATTGGAGAGAGAAGCTTTAAGTATTCCTAACAGTGCGAGTCCTCATCTCTGGGAGTATGGAGAAGAGCCCAGAATTTTAGAGTTTGTCAATCCTAAACCAAAGTTCAATTTTACACCTAGAGAATTTAGTGAACTTTGCCATACATTGGATATTATTCGAACAGAAAATCTTGGAAACCTCACAGGATCTCGAAGCTACTACCTTAAAGGTGCTCTAGCTGATCTTAGCCAAGCTCTTATAAGGTAAGATGTACTGTATTGGTTCAAGTATTAATACATACTGTAATTTATAATATGCAATACATACAATATTAGTTTTATAAGTGTACAATATTTGACAATAAAAGCATGATAAAGGAAACACCTGTGCTATATTTAGCTGATCACAAAACTCAAGCCTCAGATTTATTAATGAAAATTATTTAAATTATACAAATTTTATCCTACAAACTCTAAGATGTTTTCTTAATTCCATAAGGAACTATTTCATAAATACAGTGGAACCTTGGTACCTGAACAATTCGGCATTCGAATGCTTTGTTCGGTAAACAAATTGCTCAGTAGTCGACTGTTTGTTCAGCACTCAACCAAACAAACACAACCTGCCAGAACTTCGCTGTAAACTATTTTGTGTTTCTACGCATTTTTTGGTGTTTTTTATATCATTTGTATAAATAAGTCACCATGGGGCCTAAGAGGGTTAGTGATAATAGCCAACCAAAAAGAAAATTGGTTGGGAAAAATTTGTTCTGTACTCGAAGAGATAGGCACTCGAACAGCCTTCTGGAACCAATTAAGTTCAGATGTCGAGGTTCGACTGTATTTACTGTAATTTTTTTTTTTAAATAGTTATTGTGCTATCATTTTATATGGCAGTCCTTGGAAATTGAGGACATTTATTTAGTGCATATACTGTATGTCATCTCACCTTTATTATTAGGTATGTTGTGGATATCTTTAAAGATGCTGAACACCTGTCAATCCAGCCTATCTTCTTAGGCAAGATTTCTAAACCATGGGACTAGCTGTATTATCTATTTTCAGTGACTTTTATTCTGTGATATGGAAGCCAGAACTATGCCGTATAATTTGAGTCAAGCTTTTACAATGATACATTGAATTGTAGGATAACCTACAGCCTTCTGTTACTTCTCATGCAAAAAAAAAAAAAAAAAAAAAAAAGGCACCATAATCACTTTATTTCAGGCATAATAACTCTTAGTGACTTTGTTTCACTAAATGGAAAATTGTTAAAAAAGACAACTATTTGAGCTAATAATCCTGATGGGAAGTAATCCAAGGTAACCTGAGAAAGCAAATCAGTGTGGCTTGTTTCCAATGGTCAGCTAACATCCAGAATTTACAGATACATAGCAGTGGAACACATGAATCAGTTTTACACAGACCAGACTCAGACATACAGCAATAAACAGTACAACCAGTATTGGAGAAAATGTGAATATTTACACCAAGTGCCATGTTACAAGATGGTGTATTGTTAAGTTGGTGAAACTTCTAACGTACATGGAAGGTGTGTTTGTTTATTAAACTAGTTTTTTCATGGATATGTTTTATTAAAGGCACAGTATTAACAAAGTTCAGTAATCCAAACATTAAAAATGATAAATCCTTGTTTGTTTTTGCTAACATTCAGGATTTAACAAAGAATTAAAATTGCAAAATTAATTACAGTACATGTATATAAGTGGGCTCCTTGCAGAAGCAAATACAATGTCTGCAAGGATGTTATGGATAGCAAGGTATGAGTACAAAATTACGTTATACTGTAGGTGCAAAATTTACCTGTTAGCTAACTTGTTTTTGAAACAGAAAAGAGAAACTACTAGTAGCATTCCTGCCAAAGTTTAAAATATATAACAGGTTTCTCTTTCACACTCATGTGCTAGATTGGTTGTACAGTAAACCCTCAGATTAATGGATCTCAGTTTAATGGGCTTTGGATTTTCTTTATTTTTTTTTTTAATTAACACATTGGCCGATTCTCACCAAGGCAGGGTGGCCCGAAAAATAAAAACTTAAATCATCATTCACCCCATCACTGTCTTGCAACATTAACATTAACACCCCTCCTTCAGAGTGTAGACACTGTACTCACCACCTCCAGGACTCAAGTTCAGCTTGCCAGTTTCCCTGAATCCCTTCATAAATGTTACTTTGCTCACACTCCAACAGCACTTCAAATATTAAAAACCACTTGTCTCCATTCACTCCTATCAAATACGCTCACGCACGCTTGCTGGAAGTCCAAGCCCCTCGCACACAAAACCTCCTTTACCTCCTCCCTCCAACCCTTCCTTGGCTGACTGCTACCCCGCCTTCCCTCCATTACAGATTTATACACTCTTGAAGTTATTCTGTTTTGTTCCATTCTCTCTACATGTCCAAACCACCTCAACAACCCTTCCTCAGTTCTCTGGAGGATAGTTTTGGTAATCCCACACCTTCTAAGTTCCAAACTACGAATTCTCCGCATTATATTCACACAACACACATTGCCCTCAGACATGACATCTCCACTGCCTCCAGCCTTCTCCTCGTTGCAACATACATCACCCATGCTTCACACCCATACAAGAGTGTTGGTACAACTATACTCTCAGTTGATCTGGAAACAATAGTCAAAGTCCATTGGGTGCAGAATTGTCTATTATTGGTATGAACATATCAAAATCTTGTATCTTTCCTCCATGGTCATCATTACTGGCTTCCCTTTTCCTTTTCTAGCTCATTATGTCAGGGGTTACCTGTCTACCAACCTACTGCCTATATACTCGATCTAGTAATATAACATGCAACTCCCATGCTTTGAGAATAAAGATACTTGATCACTGCTTATGTGGTAACAGTAAGTCAATTATGTAACTATGAGTGTATTCCTCTCCACTTCAGATACACTGTCTCTTATTTGTTGACAAAGGGATTTACTCTCATGTCTGTGCCTGATCTTCTCTACGCTCACATAATTGAAGGTTGTGGCATGAGCACTTCTGGAGAACACTCTCAGGTGGGTCACTACAATTGCTGTATAGCCCTTCAGTATTATATTAGACTTCATTTTAATGTTTATTTTTATTATTTTTTATTAATTTTATTTTTTTAACACCAGCTGTTTCCCACTGAGCTAGAGTGACCCGAAAAAGATGAAATGCTTTCATAAAGTTTTTCTTATTACTTTTAGTAATTTATACAGGAGAAGGGGTTACTAGCTCCTCCTCCTTTATGAGGAAGGAATTATTTATTTTAATTTTATATTTTAGTGTGTACTACATTTATATAAATATGTTAAATACTATACTGTATATTTTTCTTTCGTTAGTCCTTGCTTAGAATGGTTCAAAGTATTATGCATAACAAAGGGCTTTTTTCCTGTAAGAAATGCTATTAACCTACTACTGTAATGCACAGTAACTCTTGTATAGTTTCTTAGGATGATGTATTACATATTATCATTATTACTATATAGTGCTGTATTCTGGACCATGAATATTTACTTATTTCTTGCTATTATTTGAATCCTCATCATTAAAGTAATTTTTAATGTTGGTGTCATTTGTATATGTATGTATGTATTCTCCTGAACTGTGTATGTATTTTTTGTGCATATTTGTTCTGGTTCTTGAAGAATGGGTGGGGATATTATGATTCATAAGGTTATTTGAACTGTGGTGTCTGCTGACTTTTGGCATGACTGCTATTGAATGAGTGATGATGCATGTGTTTCCTTCTTTGGGTCATCCCTGGGAAATGGCATGTGGTTATTTTTTTTTATGGCATATCTGTAATCAGTCATTAAATCTCAGTTTCATTCATGATGCTATGAACACTGAAATTATTGTACAGTACTGAGTAACTGGCTTGTAAATTTAGAATTCATTGCACAAGTTTTGCCTGAATCAGTTATTATATTTGCATCCAATTAAATTTTGATAAAGTGTAAAATCCTCTGCTTTAACCCTTTGAGGGTTTTCGTCGTACTAGTACGTCTTACGCGTAGGGGTTTTTGACGTACTAGTACTCATAAATTCTAGCGGCCTCAAATCTAGTGGGAGAAAGCTGGTAAGCCTTCATATGAAAGAATGGGTCTATGTGGTCAGTGTGCACAGTCTAAAAAAAATCCTGCAGCACACAGTGCATAATGAGAAAAAAATAACTTTGACCATTTTTTTTGAATAAATCAGCGACTTTGCAGTGTATTTTCGATATGGTATTTATTGTTGTATTCTAGTTTTCTTGGTCTCATTTTATAGAATGGAAGACATATTACAGAATTTGAGATGATTTTGACTGGTTTACAATGAAGGTGCCTTGAAATGAGCTCAAAGTAGCAGAAATGTTCGATTTTTACCAACTTCAAAAGTAAACAAATCGTGCCAATCGTGCAATACACGTCAACTGGTGAGTCTAATATTCTTTTACAAGTGCACCAATAATATTTATACCATTTTTTACACTAATGCAGTAGTCTGCATAACAGTAAATCTTATATTTTTTGTGAAAATAAAAATTCAAAGTGGAAAGCAAAAGAATATAAGAGGGGCCTGAGACATGACTAATGACTAGAGGAAATGTCATTTTAGTGCCAGGAATGTCTATCTTGTTTATTCTGGACCTATCGGAAATTGGCATCTTTTGAAATTTGTGTGAAATTGGCAAAATTGCTAAATTCTGACCACTGTACTGGATAGTTGAATTTATAAAGGGTGGTTTCTTGCACCCATTCGATAGAAACAATGGAGTTCTAGCGAAATATTCATGTTTTTTGTCGACTAGTACAGTGAAATTGGCCGAAAATGGGGCTCAAAGTGGGCAAAATCGCCGATACGTAAACATCGCCGAGACCGCTAACTTTGCGAGAGCATAATTCCGTAAGTTTTCTATCAAATTTCAAACTTTTGGTGTCTTTATGATCGGGAAAAGATTCTCTATCTTTTCATAAGAGAAAATAATTTTTTTTTTTTTTTAAATTTGGCCGACCCTGAGAACGAGTTTCGGAGAGGGCCTGTCGACCCTCAAAGGGTTAAGAATAATGGCATTTCAGATTGTCATTATTCTCTTCAAACATTGTTCCATAAAAGTTTTGAAAAAAAAAAAAAAACTCTGCTTCTACTTCTATTTTACTGCCATTCTTAACACACATTATTTTCATATTTTTTTTTTCATATTTTAGTGTGATGTATCCCCATCATATTCTCAGAGTTGTTGCAGCATTTTCTTCTCAAATGTTTTTTGCTATATGTACAATATTTATTCATAATTGACTAAATTTTTTTTTGCCAGGTTTATCATATTATTAATCCTAAGGAGGGTGTGTGTCTGGCAGGGACAGCTGAAATGTCACTTGGTGGTTACCTAATAAATAAATCATTAACACTGAGAGAGCTTCCCTTGAAACTGGCTGCGGTGTCACAGTGTTATCGAGCAGAAGCGTCTTCAGCACTGGAAGAACGTGGAATCTTCAGGTGATAAAATAAGTATACAGTCTCTCCTCATTTAGCGACGTACTTGTTTGCCAATGACTCAGACTTACAACAGACTCTCTGACCAGTATGCATACCTAAATAATGTATATTAGAGCTGATTTCCTCAATTCTGTTTATTACAGTATACAGTACACTACCGGATAAACATTTAAAAATATACTAAAAGTGTTATAAATGATGCAGAGGTGACATTAAAACAACATCAAAGATGGTTGTCACAAACCCACTACCATTATAGTATGCTCCTTGCTTAGTGACGAATTCATTTACTGGCATGATCTTAGGAATGGAACTCCATCGTTAAGTGAGGAGAGGCTGTAATTAATTTTTCGAAAATATTTTAAAACCCTTAACTCTTTCACTGAAGATTGAGACACTTATGCAGCATATGGGAATCTTTATTCAGGAAACGTTTCGCCACACAGTGGCTTCATCAGTCCAATACAAAGAGGAAGGCGTAAGGAGAGGAGGAGAATGAGGTAATCAGTCCCTCAACCTGGAGTCGATGTGTTCAGTCCATCAATCTTGTAGAATGTACAGCATAGGGCCGTAGACATGGCTTATATACTGTAGTGAGGTGACGTGAAGCAGATAGAGGCGGGGTCATAGTGGTACCATCCACTAGTCGAAGTAGGTCTTCGTCCAAAGGTTGAACAAGTGTTGAAGAATTCTTTGTAACAAGATCCCATGATGCTGCAGTGTTTGACAGTTGTGATGAATGGTTTGAAAAACCGACATGAAGATTGAGACACTTATGCAGCATATGGAAATCTTTATTCAGGAAACGTTTCGCCACACAGTGGCTTCATCAGTCCAATACAAAGAGGAAGGCGTAAGGAGAGGAGAAATGAGGTAATCAGTCCCTCAACCTGGAGTCGATGTGTTCAGTCCATCAATCTTGTAGAATGTACAGCATAGGGCCGTAGACGTGGCTATATACTGAGTGAGGTGACGTGAAGCAGATAGAGGCGCGGTCATAGTGGTACCATCCACTAGTCGAAGTAGGTCTTCGTCCAAAGGTTGAACAAGTGTTGAAGAATTCTTTGTAACAAGATCCCATGATGCTGCAGTGTCTGACAGTTGTGATGAATGGTTTGAAAAACCATTCAAACCATTCATCACAACTGTCAGACACTGCAGCATCATGGGATCTTGTTACAAAGAATTCTTCAACACTTTTCAACCCTTGACGAAGACCTACTTCGACTAGTGGATGGTACCACTATGACACCGCCTCTATCTGCTTCACGTCACCTCACTACAGTATATAAGCCACGTCTACGGCCCTATGCTGTACATTCTACAAGATTGATGGACTGAACACATCGACTCCAGGTTGAGGGACTGATTACCTCATTCTCCTCCTCTCCTTACGCCTTCCTCTTTGTATTGGACTGATGAAGCCACTGTGTGGCGAAACGTTTCCTGAATAAAGATTCCCATATGCTGCATAAGTGTCTCAATCTTCAACATGTCGGTTTTTCAAACCATTCATCACAACTCTTTCACTGTCTGCCACTTACATCTACGTCATTGAGGCCAGTGTTGCTATGTAGATCTGTTAATCATAACACTCGTAGATATGCTGCGAGTGGCAAATTTTGGTCTAGACATGAGATAGTGGGTCTGTGTGATGGGTGTGCACTATATAAAAAAAATATTACCTGTTGCAGTGCATAATGGGAATAGCAACCTTCTGACACTGTTTTAGGTTTGATTGGCTGTTTCTTGGTGTCTTTTGACAGACAAGAAGACAAACTAATGACATGGAGATGTTTTTGCTGGGTTTCAGACCAGCAACAGCCTGAAAAGACCTGCTTCAGTTATTAGGAGGGCCCAGATCATGACCATTAATTTCCAGTTATATTTTATTAACTGAGAAATAGAATAAAACCTAAATTTTTTGTGTGAAGATGAAATCAAAATAAAGGGCAAGTGTTGTATAGGAGAAGCCTGGGAATGTGATCATTGAACAAAGGAAGGCTTCTTTTTAGTGGCTGGAATTTCTATAGTGTTATTTTGGGCTCTTCCTTTTTAAATTGGAATGTGTTGAATTTTATGTAAAATTGGTCAAATTACCAACTCCTCGGTACTTTATAGAGAAGTTCTGATAGTGGTGTGGGCAGTTGCTTATGCTCAGTTGATAGGAAGAAGGTATACTAATGAAACAGCAATGAATTGAATCTGTTTGAGCAATGGAATTGGCCTAAAATAGGCCTCAAAGTGGGCAAAATCACAAATGTGTAAAGTGCTCCCAGACCTTCTGCTTTTCACATGAATAATTCCATAAGTTTTACATTAAACTTTGCATTTTTGGTGTCATTGCCTTCAGAAAAAGTTTCTCTAACACTTTAGAGAAGATATTTTTTTAATAACTATAACACTGACAGGACTTACAATTTTGGGGGTCGCAACAGTGAATTAGTGTCCCATAACTTAGTTGGTAGCTCACACATTGAGGTTTGTGGTTCAATCCCTGGTACAAGTGGAAAGATTGTGCATGTTTCCTTAATGCACATGCTGTCCCTGCTCTCCTAGCAGTAAAATAGGTACCTAAGTGTTAATCAACTGGTGTGGGTTGCATCCTGGAGACAAAATTAACCTAATTTGAACAGAAAGCTCTATATAACCAGGGGCTTTCTGTATAATGTCATTGATGTTAGGCCTGTGTAAGTTGTATCATGTAGAAATAAAGATTAAATTAAAAATTGATGTTAGGTCTGTATAAGTTGTATCATGTACTTGTAGAAATAAAGATTAAATTAAAAATTTTTCTTTGTTAAAATGATCTGATATTATTATTTGTGTAGTTTCTCAGACTCACACACACACACACACACACACACAACACACACACACACACACACACACACACACACACACACACACACACACACACACACACACACACACACACACTCTCACACACTCTCACACACTCTCACTCACACTCTCACTCTCACTCTCACTCTCACTCTCCTCTCACTCTCTCTCTCTCACTCCTCTCTCTCACTCTCTCTCTCACTCCTCTCTCTCTCCTCTCTACTCTCTCTCTCTCTCTCATCTCTCTCTCCTCACTCTCTCACTCTCTCACTCTCTCTCACTCTCTCTCTCACTCTCTCACTCTCTCTCACTCTCTCTCTCACTCCTCTCCTCTCTCTCTCTCACTCTCTCTCTCACTCTCTACTCTCTCTCTCACTCCTCACTCTCTCTCTCACTCTCTCTCTCACTCTCTCTCTCTCTCTCACTCTCTCTCTCTCATCTCTCATCTCACTCTCTCTCTCCTCTCACTCTCTCTCTCTCTCTCTCTCCTCTCTCTCTCTCTCTCTCTCTCTCTCTCTCTCCTCTCTCTCTCTTCAATACTTTACCTTCTTCCATTTGATGATTCTTCAGTGGGAGGTGTCTTGTGGTTGTTGAAGGGCTCTTGATCCAAGGATTTTGTTGACCTTCTCTGATGCTCACACCTTTGTTACAGACACTTGTTGATTTCCTGACACTGATTAGTTTGATCAACTGACTTCAAGTTTTCAGCTGTTATTTATCCCTCAACACCACCTCTCTTGATAGTATCTCTTTTACCTCTGCTGTTCAGTGCTGTATGACTTTTCCAAGGTTAGTTGGTTACATGAATATAATAATCATGATCCAGGGAGTTGTAGCTACCCATCCATTCCTTGATAAAACCTAATTATCTCATTTTCTGTTTAACCCTGTGTTAGCAATTTTCCATAAATATAATAAAATATATTTGATGATTGTCTCATCCACAGTAAACTAGAAGAACTGGCACTTAAGAAACCTAAATTTTGTAAAAGTACCTTATGGTTTATTTCATGACACACAAAATACAGTAACTAAAATTCCATAAATTATATATCAGCACTTCTTGGTTAGGAAATATTTTATTGGTGTCTGGAATTTCACGGGTACCCTCCCATCCCCCAGTCAAGTCCAGTCATTCAACATTCTCTGGCCATTGTATTTTTTTTTTTTTTTTTTTTTTTTTTTTTTTTTTTTTTTTTTTTTTTTTGCACATCAAATCTACAGGCTAAGAGCTGTTATTCCTTAGCTCATTTCAAAGCCACAGCTTTATCAAAGGTATACTACTGCCACCCCCAGGATGTGACTCATACCAGTCGACTAACACCCAGGTAGCTACTTGCTGCTAGGCGAACAGGGGCAGCAAGTGTAAGGAAACATGCCCAGTGTTTCCACCTGTACCCGGGATCAAACTATGAACACTCAGCGTGTGAACTGAGTTGTATGGGTGAGAATGCTGACATAATTTTTCCAAGGTAAGGCACTATATCCCTCAATTCTACATCGCATGAAAACTTCACTTAAAAATACTCGCCTAATTTAAATGTGGAAACATGTAATGCCTCGCCCTACATTTACTCGGTGGGAACTCTATACCTATAGTATATAAAATACCTGTTAGAAAAGCAAGTCTCATTCAGGATGTCTTCAAATGATTTTACAGTACTGTACTATATAAATTTTTACCTTGCTTCTAAGGGTAAGTAGATACTGTAAACATACAATAGTGATACAGTATGTAGCTTTAACGAAGGTACGCCGAGATGAACAAGAAAAAAAAAAGACAAAAACTTGTGTACTAATTTGCAAATACTGTACTAGGATGTGAGCACTGTTAATGGCACATGTACCAACATATAAGCATTATATTAGTGTCACATGTACCAGTGTGTAAGCATCATGTTAATGGCACATGTGCCAACATGTAAGCACCATGTTAATGGCATGTGTACCAGTGTGTGAGCACCATGTTAATGGCATATGCACCAACATGTAAGCACTATGCTGAGGACACATGTACCAACATGTGAGTACCATGTTAATGGCATATGTACCAACATGTAAGCACTATGCTGAGGACACATGTACCAACATGTAAGCACCATGTTAATGGCATATATACCAACATGTGAGCACTATATTGAGGGCACATGTACCAACATGTAAGCACCATACTGAGATCACATTTACCAACATGTAAGCGCTATGCTGAGGACACGTACCAGCATGTGAGTACCATGTTGTGGACACATATACCAACATGTGAACACTATGCTGAGATCACATGCACCATATTCTAAAGCAAAAGTTTTATAACTGTATGGTCACTTCTGCCATTAGTTTGAGTTAAGTATTAAAAATATTTATTGGTTTTATATCCAACTGTTGATTATTTTCATTATGTTTATGGGGAAGTGTTAAACTATAGGTGTCAGAGTTCCTGGGAATGAGAGGTAACTGGGTTTGATCCACAGAAGGGAAGGGAGGGTAACTCCAGTTACTTGGACAAGGAGTCATTCACCATCATCCCTTTAAGGAACTTACATTGAGAAATATCAAGGCTATTACTTATTATTAATATTAGTAGTACTGTATGTTTTTTTTTTTTAACATGTTGGCTATCTCCCACCGAGGCAGGGTGACCCTACCCCCACAAAAAGGAAACACTTTCACCATCATTAATACTTAAATATCTTGTTACTTGTTGCCAGAGTGCATGGGTTCACCAAGGTGGAAATGTTTGGAGTAACAGCAGCAGAAAGTGGAGAGGAAAGTAAACATCTTTACTCAGAAATGACTCTGATACAAAAAGAACTTTTCTCACGTCTTGGACTTCATTTTCAAGTAAGTAGAGAGTAGGAAGTAGAGTGACTGCATGCTGAGGGAGGTTAGGGGGATCTTGTAGTTCAGCGGGTCATTTGACTGCAATCCTCTGGCAAGACAGCTGTTAAGTGAATGAAGGTGAATGTGTTTCCTTTTTTCCTGGGTCACCATATGATGGGAGATGACTCGTGCATTAAAAAAGTATAGAAAGTTCTATACTTTTAACTATACCTGAAAGGCATTACATAACCATCAGCTTTTCAAAAAAAAAAAAATGTAGGCACAAATACCTAAAATTGTATAAACTTTCTGAATATTTTGGGAAAATAAAGTAGTTTGTTTTTACCATCTGCATGCTGATATTTTCACCTTTAACACTTTCACTGTTCGTCACATAGATCTAGATCATTGACACCAAGGTCCATCATGTGAATCTTTGTTTTGAGCTCAGCTCCATCAGATAACCTACAAGTGGTAAATTTCGATCTAGATATGAGTGAATGAGTGTGCAGTGAGTATGCACAGTATAACAAATCCTTCCCCATGCAGTGCATGATGGGAAAAGCAAAAATCTGATCTTGCTTTTGGTTTAAAATAGCAAATTTCAGATTTTTTCTTGAATAGGTTCTATGGCTTTATTGAATGTTTCCTAGTATTGTTTGATACAGTGAAAGATATGCTAGTGAAATAGAGATAATTTTGGTTTCATGACTGTAAATATAGTTTGAAACTAGGCTTACAGTAGCAGAAATATTTGACTTTTGCCGATATTCCTGAGGACAGGTTAGGTGAGGCCCGGGGATGTAATTAATGAACAGAGGAAATGTTGTTTTAGTACCTGGACTGTATACAGCATTTATTTTCAACTGTTTTAAAATTAGAATGTTTAAATTTTGTGTAAAATTGGTCAAATTACTGACTTTTGTGCCTTTTACAGAGTAGTTGAATGGATATTTTTTGTGTTCAGTCGATAGAATGAAAGGCATACTAGTGAAATAGCTAAGAATTTGATTGAATTGAGCAATGGAATTGGCTTAAAATAGGACTCAATGTGGGCAAAATTGCCAATGGTAAATTATGCTCAGACTGCTAACTTTGTCTGCATATTTCCTTAAATTCTCCGTCAGATTTGCACTTTTGGTGCCATTACCATTTTTTTTTATATAAGAATGTTGAAAAAGCAATTTTAATTTTGGGGGGTTCTGACAGTGAGGTTTTATGCAAATTGTCTGATTTCATGTTTGTCTGCCTATCATACATTTTTGAATGATTCTCATGGTGTTAGTACTTGCAGTGAATATACTGCACTGTAATATATTTACATACGTATATATTTGACAAATTAATACACTTGATTAATATTTGCCATGTAACAAATTATTAATATTATAATCAAAAAGAAGCACTAAACCTACAAGGGTCTTACAGAGCTATGTAACAGATACACATTATTATTTTTTTTATTATCACACCGGCCGATTCCCACCAAGGCAGGGTGGCCCGAAAAAGAAAAACTTTCACCATCATTCACTCCATCACTGTCTTGCCAGAAGGGTGCTTTACACTACAGTTTTTAAACTGCAACATTAACACCCCTCCTTCAGAGTGCAGGCACTGTACTTCCCATCTCCAGGACTCAAGTCCGGCCTGCCGGTTTCCCTGAATCCCTTCATAAATGTTACTTTGCTCACACTCCAACAGCACGTCAAGTATTAAAAACCATTTGTCTCCATTCACTCCTATCAAACACGCTCACGCATGCCTGCTGGAAGTCCAAGCCCCTCGCAAACAATATGTACTTTTGCACTTTCATAAGTTATTGCAAAGTTTTATATTAAAAATAATTTATAAATTATACTGTAACTCAAAAGTAATATATATGGTAAAGGTTCCCATCTGTTATAAGTTAGTAAAGCTACACATACATAAAATTATAAGTTTTTTCATCTTAAATTCCATTGAAATTAGATTATTGCTTTAATATATACATGTATAATATGAATTTTTACATATGCATTATCATATAGACACGAAAATATTTTTGGGAGACAACTTTAGTTACATCATCTCTATACATATCAATACCCTTCAAGGACTGTACCTTAATTAATTCTGGTGAAGGGTTCTTGAGCCTAGGACTTTGAGCTATCCCAATTTCCCTGTATCATACCTGATTGACTTGTATTCCCCAAGCTGTGTATGACCCTAACAGGTCATTATTAATATTATTATTATTATATTATTATTATTTTTATTATTATTATTATTATTATTATTATTATTATTATTATACTATGTAGATCCATAACTTTCTTGATGCTTGTTATTCTGATTTCTTACAGATACTAGACATGCCTCTTAGTGATCTTGGTGCACCAGCCTTCACCAAGATAGATATGGAGGCTTGGATGCCAGGAAGAGGCATGTATGGGGAAATTTCTTCAGCTTCCAACTGCACTGACTATCAAGCTCGTAGGTTGAATATTACCTACAAGAACAGTGAAGGAAGTCAGAGGTATGCTATCTTAAATTTGTTTTGAGTACATCTTTTTTCATATTTCAAGCTATTCTCCAGTGCTAAAGCAAGTTTTAATATAAATCTGTAATACCATATTTATTAATGTGTATATTAACATGATATTTCCATAAGTCATTTTTCATGATGAAAAGCACAGCATTTCTTACCCCATACAACCAGTTTGGAAGATGATAGCAATGCAGATATCACAATAGAGGGACAGACTTTTGGGAAACAGATATGAATCCAGCACTGCTCAGCACAGTACATAATGACAGGACATGACTGCAACATTCATTCACTATGTATCCACTGTTACAGGATTTTTTTTTTTTTTCAACAAGTCGGCCGTCTCCCACCGAGGCAGGGTGGCCCAAAAAGAAAGAAAATCCCCAAAAAGAAAATACTTTCTTCATCATGCAACACTTTCACCTCACTCATACATAATCACTGTTTTTGCAGAGGCACCCAGATACAACAGTTTAGAAGCATGTATAAAGGTATTAGGTTGGTAGACAGCAACCACCCAGGGAGGTACTACCATCCTACCAAGCGAGTGAAAAAGATGTAAAACGAGAGCCTGTGATTGTTGTACATGATGGTAGGATTGCTGGTGTCTGTCTTATAAATATGCAAGATTACACATACGTCTTGCTACTTCTACTTCCACTTAGATCACATTACACATTCATGTACATGTTTATTTATACACACTCATCTGAGTTTTCTTTGATTTTATCTTAATAGTTCTTGTTCTTATTACTTTTCCTTTTATATCCATGGGGAAGTGGAATAAGAATCTTTCCTCCATAAGCCATGTGTGTTGTAAAAGTCAACTAAAATGCCAGGAACAATGGGGCTAGTAACCCCTTTTTCTGTACAGATTACTAAAAAGAAGTGTAAATGGGATTAGGTCAGGGGTTTCAAATAGAGTTAGAGCTAAAGAAGGAGTAGCAGTAATGTTGAAGGATGAGCTATGGCAGGAAAAGAGGGAGTATAAATGTATTAATTCAAGGATTATGTGGAGTAAAATAAAGGTTGGATGTGAAAAGTGGGTTATAGTAAGTGTATATGCACCTGGAGAAGAAAGAAGTGTAGAGGAGAGAGAGAGGTTTTGGGAATTGTTGAGTGAGTGTGTGGGGAGTTTTGAACCAAGTGTGAGTGTACTTGTGGTTGGGGATTTCAATGTTAAAGTGGGTAGAAATGTTGTGGAGAAGTAGATAAATTTGGGGTGCCAGGGGTAAATGAAAATGGGGAGCCTTTAATTGAGCTATGTGTAGAAAGAGGTTTGGTAATAAGTAATACATATTTTATGAAAAAGAGGATAAATAAATATACAAGGTATGATATAGCACATAATGAAAGTAATTTGTTAGATTATATATTGGTGGATAAAAGGTTGATGGGTAGACTTCAGGATGTATATGTTATAGAAGGGCAACTGATATATTGGATCATTATTTAGTTGTAGCTACAGTTAGAGTAAGAGGTAGATGGGACAAAAGGAAAATGGCAACAAGAAGTAAGAGAGAGGTGAAAGTGTATAAACTAAGGGAGGAAGAAGTTCAGGCGAAATATAAGCAAATATTGGCAGAAAGGTGGGCTAGTGCAGGTATGAGTAGTGGGGGGGTTGAAGAGGGTTGGAATAGTTTTAAAAATGCAGTATTAGAATGTGGGGCAGAAGTTTGTGGCTATAGGAGGATGGGTGCAGGAGGAAAGAGGAGTGATTGGTGGAATGATGAAGTAAAGGGTGTGATAAAAGAGAAAAAGGTAGCTTATGAGAGGTTTTTACAAAGCAGAAATGTTATAAGTAGATCAGAGTGTATGGAGAGTAAAAGAAAGGTGAGAGAGTGCAAAAGGAGAGCAGATGATAGAGTGGGAGAGGCACTGTCAAGAAATTTTGATGAAAATAAGAAAAAATTTTGGAGTGAGATACACAAGTTAAGAAAGCCTAGGGAACGAATGGATTTGTCAGTTAAAAACAGAGTAGGGGAGTTAGTAGATGGGGAGATGGAGGTATTAGGTAGATGGTGGGAATATTTTGAGGAACTTTTAAATGTTGACGAAGAAAGGGAGGTGGTAATTTCATGCACTGGCCAGGGAGGTATACCATCTTTTAGGAGTGAAGAAGAGCAGGATGTGAGTGTAGGGGAGGTGCATGAGACATTACGGAGAATGCAAAGGGGTAAAGCAGCTGGAACTGACGGGATTATGACAGAAATGTAAAAGCAGGGGGGGGGGGGATATAGTGTTGGAGTGGTTGGTGTTTTTGTTTAATAAATGTATGAAAGAGGGGAAGATACCTAGGGATTGGCAGAGAGCATGCATAATTCCTTTATATAAAGGGAAGGGGGACAAAAGAGATTGTAAAAATTATAGAGGAATAAGTTTACTGAGTATACAAGGAAAAGTGTATGGTAGGGTTATTATTGAAAGAATGTAGGATTGCGGATGAGCAAGGAGGTTTTAGAGTGGGTAGGGGATGTGTAGATCAGGTGTTTACGTTGAAGCATATATGTGAACAGTATTTAGATAAAGGTAGGGAAGTTTTCATTGCATTTATGGATTTAGAAAAGGCATATGATAGAGTGGATAGGGGAGCAATGTGGCAGATGTTGCAAGTATATGGAATAGGTAGTAAGTTACTAAATGCTGTAAAGAGCTTTTATGAGGATAGTGAGGCTCAGGTTAGGGTGTGTAGAAGAGAGGGAGATTACTTCCCGGCAAAAGTAGGTCTTAGACAGGGATGTGTAATGTCACCATGGTTCTTTAATATATTTATAAATGGGGTTGTAAAAGAAGTAAATGCTAGGGTGTCCAGGAGAGGGGTGGGGTTAAATTATGGGGAATCAAATACAAAATGGGAATTGACACAGTTACTTTTTGCTAATGATACTGTACTTAGGGGAGATTCTAAAGAAAAGTTGCAAAGGTTAGTAGACGAGTTTGGGAGAGTGTGTAAAGGTAGAAAGTTGAAAGTGAAAGTGCAAAGAGTAAGGTGATGAGGGTATCAAATGATTTAGATAAAGAAAACTTGGATATCAAACTGGGGAGGAGTATGGAAGAAGTGAATGTTTTCAGATACTTGGGAGTTGACGTGTCAGCGGATGGATGGATGAAGGATGAGGTTAACCACAGAACTGATGAAGGAAAAAAGGGGAGTGGTGCATCGAGGTATATGTGGAGGCAAAGAAGGGAATGTATGAAAAGATAGCGGTACCAAAACTCTTATGTGGGTGTGAAGCTTGGGTTGTAAATGCTGCAGCTAGGAGGTGGTGATGTCCTGTCTAAGGGCAATGTGTCTTGTAAATATTATGCAGAGAATTCAGTGTGGAAATTAGAAGATGTGGAGTTAATACAAGTATTAGTCATCCTCGAAAAGGTTGGAGGGAGGGGGTAAAGAAGGCTTTATGGGCGAGGGGCTTGGACTTCCAGCAAGCATGGGTGAGCGTGTTAGATAGGAGTGAATGGAGACGAATGGTATTTGGGATCTGACGAGTTATTGGAGTGTGAGCAGGGTAATATTTAGTGAAGGGATTCAGGGAAACCGGTTATTTTTATATAGCCGGACTTGAGTACTGGAAATGAGAAGTACTCTACATTGCCTGCACTTAAAAGGAGGGGTTTGGGATATTGGCAGTTTGGAGGGACATGTTGTGTATCTTCATACATATATGCTTCTAAACTGTTGTGTTCTGGGCACCTTCAAAAAGAGTGATTATGTATGACTGAGGTGAAAGTGTTGAATGATGATGAAAATATTTTATTTTCTGGGATTTTCTTTCTTTTCGGGTCACCCTGCCTCGGCGGGAGACGGCCAACTTGTTAAAAAAAAAAAAATCCCTCCAAACAGCCAATATCCCAAAGCCCCTCCTTTAAAGTGCAGGCATTGTACTTCACATTTCCATAACTCAAGTCCGGCTATATAATAATAACCGGTTTCCCTGAATCCCTTCACTAAATATTACCCTGCTCAAACTCCAACAGCTCATCAAGTTCCAAAAACCATTCGTCTCCATTCACTCCTATCTAACACGTTCATGCACGCTTGCTGGAAATCCAAGCCCCTTACCCACAAAACCTCCTTTACCCCCCCCTCCCTCCAACCTTTTTGAGGACGACCCCTACCCTGCCTTCCTTCAGGAATATAATGGGTTATTATGAGCTACCTTAACTATTTTAAGTAGCCGCAAACACTATTTAGGTTGTAAGTTAAGATTAAAGGTCAGGAAAAGAACATAGCTTTTCTGCACTGATTTATGTATGTACCTACATTTGAGTATATGCATGTAAATCCTAGATGTACAGTTTAAGATATACAGAGGAGGGTGATGGAATTTTGTTTAGTATTCACAGTATAACACATGCCCATATGTGAAAGTACGCACACATACAATTGTGTACAATTCCATACAAAACAAAAAACTAAAATAACTAGTTAATGCGATTTTACATGAACACAATGTTATCATTACCATTACAATATTTCTATTATAATGAATGCTATCATCATCATCACATCATACTGGCTGTCTCCTCCCACTATTGTTCATTCATTAGTTGTCTTGCCAAAATTGTGCTAACATCAGAATTCAAATGAGCTTCCAAACTGCAACACCCTCATCTTCAAAGTGCAGGCACTGTACTTCCCACCTCTAGGTGATGGTAGGCAGAGTAAATATAGAGAGAGAAGAGCAGACAGTCAGAAGACAGGGATATTAGATATAGCAGGATTATAGTACAGTTCATTACTGTGTATATGTGAGCATGTTGATTCAGATTGGAGACAAGTAAGTTCTGGAATTAGACATGCTGCTAGAGTATGAGCAAGGTAGCATGTATGAAACCAATTAGGCGGGCTCGAGTTCTGGAGGTGTGAGGTACAGTATCTGCATTTTGACATAATTTGCAGATCCTGCTCTGTATGATGGGTGGTGGTGTTGCATTTCTGGAAGTAGGAAGTACGTACAGTGCTTGCTCTTTGAAGGATGGCTGGC